TTTCAAGTAAAAATTAGAATTTTAGAAAACTTGTATCCACTTTCTTGAGTCTGACAGTTTGCCAGTACTGAGACTTTTCTAATGAGATCAGTGGTGGTGTTAATAAATGTGATTTTACTTTCATTATATAATGAAATCTGTCAACATTTTGAGTATCTTTATAATTCACTGAACCAGTATTTTCTAAATAATCAATTCATGACATTACAAAATTCACACATGGGCAAAAGATTTGTTCATAGTGCAAGAGAAATGAATGGGTTTAATGTAACAGAGTACAAAAAATTTACTGCTGTGATTTCAGATTCCACAACTAACCTTTAGGAAGGTTGAGTTTGGTGTAATATCCAAGAATATCCACAATTATCTGAAAGCTATTAAAATACTCCCTTTTTCAGCTACATATCTGTGTAAGACCAGATTTTCTTCATATACTTCAACCAAAACATAACACAATAGATTGAATGCAGAAGCAGATATGAGAATCCAACCGTCTTCTACTAAGCCAGACATTAAAAAGATTTACAGAAATGTAAAATAATGCCACTCTTCCCACTAAATTTATTTTGTTTTGGAAAATATTATTTTTCATAAAAATGTTATTTATATTAACATGTAATGGATTTATTATTTTTTAATGAAATAAATATTTAAATAACTTGTTTTAATTTCTCGTATAGTAAATATGGATAGATATAACCCATATAAACAAAAAATTATATGGGAGCCTTATACTCTTACACTCTTAAATTTTTAAGAGTGTAAAGGAGTCTTGAGGCCAAAATGTTTTGAGAACTGCTACTCTGAAGAAACGAAGTTCTTTTAATATGCATGTGTTGAGAACAGATGTTGATAAGAGGCATGCATGATCTAACTTAAGCGAGTCTGTATGTATTTGTCTTTCCCAATAGATTATGAACTCTTGAAGAAGAACTAGATCCTCTTTTACTTTCTCTGACTTCTAGCATAGAGTCTTATAAATAATAGTAATCATGATAGTAGTAGCAGCATTAAATCTTTATTAGCTCATTTAATCTTTATTCTGTGAGGTAAATATTATTAATTCCTTTTTTAAATTGAGATATAATTCACATAGCTGAAATTTACCATCTTAAAATGTACAATTCAGTGGTTTTAATATACTCACAAGGTTGCGCAACCATTACTAATGTCTAATTCCAGAACGTTTTCATTCCCCTGAAAGAAACTCCATACACATTAGCAGTCACATCCCATTCCCCTCACCCTCTAGCAACCGATAACCTATTTTCTGTCTTTGTGGATTTGCCTGTTCTAGACATTTCATGTAAATGGAATCATACAATATGTGATCTTTTTGTGTCTGGCTTTTTTCACTCATGTTTTTAAGGTTCATCCATTGTTGTAGCATGTATTAGTACTTCACTCCTTTTTATGGCCAAATAATATTCTGTTGTATGGATATGCCATGTTTTGTCTGTGTGTTCATCTGTTGATGGATATTTTGGCTGTTATGAATAATGCTGTATGAATGTTCATATGCAAGTTTTTGTGTGGACATATGTTTTCAGTTCTCTTTGGTATGTACAGGGAATGAAATTGCTAGGTCATATGATAGGGAACTCTAACTTTTAGAGGAACTTAATTCCTTTTTTAATAGATTTTTTATTTTGGAATAATTTTAGATTTACAGAGAAGTTGCAGAAATAGTATATTTCCTGTATAGCTATCACCCATCTTCCCCTAATGTTAACATTACATAAACCATAAAATGTACGTCAAAGCAAAGAAGCCAACATTGGTACATTACTTTTGACTAAATTCTAGATTTTATTTGGATTTTACCAGTTTTTCCACAAATGTCCTTTTTTGGTTCTAGGATACCACATTGTGATGTCTCCTTAGACTCCGCTGCTCTGAGACAGTTTCGCAGTCTTTGTTTTTTATGTCCTTGACAGTTTTGAGGAGTACTGGTGAGGAATTTTGTAGAATTTTCCTCAGTTTGTGTTTTTCTGGTGTTTTTCCCATGGTTAGACTGGGGTTATGGGTTTGGGGGAAGAATAGGACAGAAGTGAAGTGTGTTTTTGATCACATTAGATCGGGCGTGAGTGATATCAATACGACTTACCACCAGTGATGTTAACCTTGATCACTTGGTTAATGCAGTGTTTGCCAGATGTTTTTCACCATGAAGTTATTTTCCCCTTTCCATACTTTGTTTTTTGGAAGTGAGTGACTAAGTCCAGCCTACACTCAATTGGGGAGGGAAGTTAAGCTCCAACTCCTGGAAGGGGACGTATCTACATATATTATTAGTTTTGTAAGGAAGTTTTGTTCCCCCTCATTTTGTTTATTCATTTATTTGTATTGATATGAATTATGTATGTTTATTTTTTTCTTTGGGTTATAATCTAATACTACTTTATTTTTTTATTTTTTTTTATAATTTTATTTATTTATTTATTTTTCCTCCAAATCCCCAGTAGATAGTTGTATGTCATAGCTGCACATCCTTCTAGTTGCTGTATGTGGGACGCGGCCTCAGCATGGCCGGACAAGCAGTGCGTTGGTGCATGCCCGGGATCCGAACCCGGGCCACCAGCAGCGGAGCACGCGCACTTAACCGCTAAGCCACGGGGCCGGCCCTAATACTACTTTATTAATCTTGTTACTCAAATCATTCCAGCATTGGCTTTTGAGAACTCTTTGCTGTGTCCTTTTGACATGCCCTCATCCTTTTTAAGTACTTGCTTACCTTTTGACACTATAAGATGCTCTAGGCTCATCTTGTATTTTCCCTGTCCAGGGCCTAGAACCAGCCATTTCTCCAAGGAACCCTGAGGCAAAGTTAAGTGTTTGCCCAAGATCACACGCTTAAGTAAATGGTGGAACCAGGATTCCAACCAAAGCCATCTGATTCCACAACCCATGCTCTTATAGACAACATGCAGCTGAAGGTGCATTGGCAGTTTGTAGTCATGTTCCATCTATGAGCCAGCCTTAAGGATGGGATTTGTAGTCAGTTTACACTAAATATTATTGTGCCCTGACTGTTTTATATTGATTTTTTTTTAAACCACAGCTGTGATGATTATAATCAAGTTAAAAATTATCCACAGATAACCACTGTCAGTATTTTGGTGCATTTCCTTCTATAAATGCATGCAAATATATTTTGAAATTTTGTTATATTACTCTGACTTTTAAATTTGGTATACATAAATATGGAGCATTCACAGTGTAACCGAAATCTGAACATGCCATTTCTGTTACAGCTTGTGATTAAGATGATAGTGAGCTGCTCTAGGGCTCATCTGTTTTACCTTAATGTTATGGTCACATAAGAGATAAATATCTGTCTTGATTTATCAATTCATCAAATAATCCTCAAAATATTTTTACCAAGCCTTATTTTTCTTCCGTTTGTAGCAATAAATAGTCCCCTCTGGTAATGCACCCCTGACAGCCCACACTTAAGAACAGCCAGTTGTGTCTTGCTTGCATCCCACTCTGAAACAAAACAAACCCCCCATGATGTGACCAGCTGTCATCTTTATCACCTTCTTAGATCCCATCCTTGTTTCTTCCTTTGACCACCAGTAGTTTAATTTCACTTCAGGCAGTCTTTCTCACACACAGATACAAGTCTTTTTTTACTCTCTTCTCCCAGCCCTTCTTTAACCTCTAACTAGTTACCCCAGAAATATTTATTTTCCCCCTTTACCTTCTCTCATTCTCCCTCTTTTGTGGGCTGAAAAATAACTGTCATTATAGCAGATAAAATATACAGTAGTGCTAGTGACATACTCCTAGCAAGGAAAACAAAAGCTGTAAGATGTGGAGTGGAATTAGGTGCAATCTCTTCATCCCTCAGTTCTTGTCAGATTATACTGGCTTTTCTTCAGGTACTAGCATTCAAACTAAATAAAAGATAAAATAAATTTAGTTTTGATTTTGTCTAAGTACAGTTGGCATTCTTCTCATTGTACATGTACAAAGTTTGGTTCACTTGCATAGATTAAATAACTTTATAATCGAATCAAGATCTAATTACCAATCAAAACCTTGTTTAGTAGGGAAATGTGTTGTTTCCTAGCATATGTACTTTTGTATCAGAACTCATCTGTAAGTTAGGCATTCCCTCCCTTTTACTGCTGATTTTAAATGTGTATAATTCACCTTTTTTAAAGACTTAAAGTATATATATGTAAGTATATGTAAACAAGATTGAAGTTTCCACTGAAGTAGCCATGTGGATAAGGGGGATTACTTGACTGCCTGGGCGGGGCATCACAGGATGACAGAACCTTGGGATTTAGCCATACTCTAGTTTTCAGCTAAATTCTGGATTTACTTTTGTCAGTGTTCCCAGATGGATCAAGTTCTATGGTACTGTCTGCAAAACTCACAAGGGACTAACGTGTGATTAGAATGTCAGATTTTCAGAGAGACCAAATATTGCATCAGTGACACCTTCTCATCCTTTAGGAAGGTTTATGTGAAGGCTAAGTTGTAATCATATGGCTAGTGAGCATGGAATCAGATTTGAGGGGGTGTTGGTTGATGTATTTAGTAGCAAGCGTCCTATCTGCTATAGAAATGGTCATATCCTTTGATTGGCTGGTCAGGACATATTCTTCCTCTTTGGAATTCTCTTTTCTTAAGACTCCATGTTGTCTGTCTTTTCATTGGAACATTTACTCTTAGAATCAATTGATTAGGTGAATATCTTTTGATATGTTAGTATCATCTTGCTTTCCAGAAACTACTATAGTTCTCTTAACTGGACGTGGCTTTTCAGACGTTCCCTCAGCTAACCGTTTACCAACTTTGTTAGGGGAGATTATCTATATTGATAACCAGTTTCATCTCTTGTTGAGTTTTACAAATTTTGCAAATTTCACTCTAAATGGATAATATTTCCTAATTCGAAATTGGGGAGGGGATTATTACTATTTTGTGCTTGTCCATAACTGTTTTTTACCTTGTTATTAATTGTACATTTTTGCCTATCTGTTTCAGGCCATATCATAATCCTGAATCATGTCTGATAACGGAGAACTGGAAGACAAGCCTCCGGCACCTCCCGTGCGAATGAGCAGTACCATTTTTAGCACTGGAGGCAAAGATCCTTTGTCAGCCAATCACAGTTTGAAACCTTTGCCCTCTGTTCCAGAGGAAAAAAAGCCCAGGAATAAAATCATCTCTATATTCTCAGGCACAGAGAAAGGTAAATAGCTGCTGTGGTTTCAAGAGTCTCAGTTATTATTTTATGTTGCTGATTTTGATATCTTTTTAATTAAAGTATAATAAGTTGATATCTTTTCTGGTGAGAACAATAAACAGATCCAAGAAAAGAATTGATGGTGGTATATAGGCACTATTGGAAAGGCTTGTTTATTTTAACTGTGATAGAAAAGAATAAAGCTAAACTTGTTGTGGGGCTGGCCTGGTGGTGTAGTGGTTAAGTTCACATGCTCTGCTTTGGCGGCCTGGGGTTTGCAGGTTCGGATCCCAGGGGCGACTGACATACTGCTTGTCAAGCCATGCTGTGGCGGTGTCCCATATAAAGTGGAGGAAGAGGGGCATGGATGTTAGCCCAGGGCCAAACTTCCTCAGCAAAAAGAAGAGGATTGGCATTGGATGTTAGCTCAGTACTAATCTTCCTCAAAAAAACACAAAAAACAAAACAAGTTAAAAAAAACCTTAAACTTGTTGCTTATCTTACTTTTTATGTCCAATGAATTTCTATACTCATCTTCTTGGTTTTCGAAGACTTTTTGCCTACCCAACATTAGTGAGATTTGTGACTTTTGGGAAAGACCTACTATTATAAGAATGGTGATACAGAGTATAATCCCGTCTGAAATCCCTGGAACCAAATGTGTTTTGGAATTAAGGTTTTTCTGATTTTTGAGTAGTAGTAATACTGTCTTTTTATCATGTATTATATAAGCGTCTGAGGCAGGCAGGACTCAGTAATCAACACGTTAATGTATCTTCTGCAAACATGAGTTTAGTCCAGGGTTTCTCAATTCCTGCTTTGTTGCAGGAATCTCTCCTGTGCATTATGGTATGTTTAGCGCTATTCCCAGCTTTTACCCACTAGATGTCAGTAGCACCTCCCACCCAGTTGACAACTGAAAATGTGTCTAGATATTGCCAGATGTCTCATGTAGGACAAAATCGCCTCCAGTTAGGAACAACTGGTCTAGTAACACAAAGTGGGATGAAGAAGTGTCATATAAGTTGAAGTCACTAAATTTGTTTTGGTGTCAAACCTAAGAAAAGAACTTTTGGTTTTCAGAGATTTTTGGATTTTAGAATTGGATAAGGGATTATGGACTGTAATGGATTTTAGAATAAGGGTTAGGGATTAGTTTATTTAAACTAATTTAATTATATTTATTTAATTATTTATATTTATTTAATTATATTAAGCATGGCAGTATGGCTTTGATAGTAATGATAGATATAAGTGGAGATAAAGATATATTTCCACTTATATATCTAAGTGCACATGGAGACGTAAACCCAAGTGGAAGAATAATGGTGCTTTTATATAATAATGAATACACATTTAATTTGAGAGTTAAAAATATATAATCAGTGAAAATTTGAGGAAATATAGTTAATATTAACAAAGAATCAAGTCTTGGAGAATTTAGATTTGCAGACAGGACGTAATCATTGAGCGGTTGAAAACCTGTTTATTTTATTGTATGTCTCTCATTTCTAATTTTGCTTTTATTTTTAAAATTTCATGTGAGGTTGTAACTGAAAAGCTTCATTGAAGTATGTTTTTAAAATTTATTTAACAGAAGTGATAGCGTGTGTATTTGACGTGTTTGAGGATGAAAAATGTACTTCTACTGGATTAGGTAAAGGATAAAGGGGGAAATTAGGAAATGAACCAAAAAGTATGCATGGGAAGAGGGTGAAAAAGTGTGTGTCTTGGAGAGCACTGAGTCCTCATCTTCCATGGTAGTAAGTCAGTATATTTAAAGTAGGAAAACCTAAAATAGCAGTATAAACACAGTATTTATAATTATGGGGGTTAGAAAAAAATTTATGAAGGTTACTACCAGCAGAAATTGCTGAATGAATTGAAATTTCTTGCCTGTAGAGAGCAGAAGGCAAAGTGGGGTAGGGGAATGCTCTAGATAGGATAAAATGTACTTGGGGACAGCCTTGGAAAGGGGAAAAGAAGAACACAATGAAAAGAAACAAAAGAGAAAGTGTGGACAGTCCAGTACTTTGGGTAATGGTAGGGTTTGTGAACAAATTGAATATCATTTACATAAATGCAAAAGAGCATACCCATCTCTGATTGTTTTGAGAATCTTCCAGTTTTACCCTTTCCCTTCCTTTCTCCTAGAATCATTTATCAGCTGAAACTAGTTCTGGTTACCCCCTAACAACGGGAGAGTGAGGGTACTGGTGTCCTAGGGATGGCTCTGATTGCATTTAGGTTTATCAGCTCTTGAGATCTATAATTAAGGTCCATTTAATTTTTTTTGTCATTTCTGAAGTCTTTTTTTGTGTTAATTGCATTCAGTATCTAATAACTTTTAAGTTCTAATCTTAAAACTTTACAAGCTCTTTTAAAAACAAATTTTGCCTCATCCAATTCCTTTTTTTAAGAAAAATCTGTTATTGAAAATGTCAAACGTATAAAGTATAATAGTCTAGCTTCAACGGCTTCATCAGTTATCATTCTGCCTCCACTTGACTTATTTTTTAGGTAACATTTACATATATTAAAACGCACATAATTGTACAGTTTTGATAAATGGATACACCTGTTGAAGGCATAATCATTGTGACCCTATTACGTTATACACCATTTCCGTCTCCCCAGAAAACTTTCACATCCTACCCCAAACAATCTACTCCTCCCTGCCTTCAGGCAACTACTGTCCGATTTTTCACCTTTGATCAGTTTAGCCTATTTTAGAACTTTATATAAATAGAATTTTGCTTTAATTTTTTAGTTTTGTGGTGACATCATACACACTAGAGTATAGTATACATAATATATCTTTTAATAAAACACCTTGTACTAATTTTATGACATAATATCCCCAATAATATATGGTTAGGCTTACGTATTTGGGAACATTTTATAAATGGAATCATACTCTCTGCATTTTTTTCAGGACTTCTGTTTTTCATTCAACTTTATGTTTTTGAGTTTCATGCTGACTTGTATTGCTGTGGTTCATTTTCACTGCCAATGTTGGTATATGTAGCTGTAGTTTGTTCATTGTCACTGCAGATACTAGTACACTGTATAATAAATGCATGGCAGTTTATTTAACCGGTCTCTTGTCAGTAGACAGTTGGGTTGTTTTCATGAACAATGCTGCTATGGGTAATCTCGAACGTATCTCTTGGTGGACATGTGCAAGTATTTCTCTAGGGCAATGCTTTTCAAATGTCAGGTGACCCATTGCTTTAGTTGTTCTTGATTCTAATTGCTTATTAGAATCTCTTGGGAAGCTTAAAAAAATAAATCTGTGTCCAAGCTCCATTCCAGACCAATTGAATCAGTCTTCAGGGGCTTACCTGGGCATTATTTTTGTTTTTGTTTTTAATTTTTTAAATGCGTCAGGTGATTCTAATGTGCATCTGATGTTAAGAACCACTGCGTTAGTGGGTTATGAAATCTATATAGTAGATGACACGAAATGAAATAGCATAGAAATAATCAGAGTATATTGCACACAGTGAAAGAGTTGTTTCATGAAACTTTTGTTTCAGTTATGTGTGTGTTGGATCAGGAGGTAAAATGTTTTGGTGTGTGTCCTCACCAAAGATTTGAAGGTTGCTCTGAGGTATACACTTAGGAGTAAAATTCCTGGGTTACAGGGTATTCCCATGTTTGGCTTAACTAGGTTTCTCAGATTGCTTTCTAAAGTTTTTTTAATGTTCATTCTCACTCACAGAACACGAGTGTTCCCATTGCGAACATCCTTGCCAATTCTTGTGTTACAGGACTTTAATTTTTGCCAGCTTGGGAGGTGTGAAATGGTATCTCATTGTGTTTTTAATTTGTATTTTCCTGATGACACGGGAAATTGAATGTCTCTTTATATGTTAATTTACCATTCATTTGTGTTTTCTGTGATATATCTGTTCTTTAATCCATTTTTCTATTGAGTTGTTTTTTCCTTATTTATTAATAAGCATTTCTTATAGTCTATATACTAATCCTTTGTCAGTTATATGTTTTTTTTTTTAAATGCCTCACAGACTTTAACATTTTTTTTTTTAACTTTATTTATTTTTCCCCCCAAAGCCCCAGTAGATAGTTGTGTGTCATAGTTGCACATCCTTCTAGTTGCTGTATGTGGGACTCGGCCTCAGCATGGCCCGAGAATCGGTGTGTCGGTGTGTGCCCGGGATCCGAACTTGGGCCACCAGCAGCGGAGCGCGAGCACTTAACCGCTAAGCCACGGGGCCAGCCCTATATGTTATTAAATATAGTTTTCCAGGTTGTGATGTGCCTTTTCACCCTTTCATTGATAGCTTTTTTTGTGTATGTGTGAGGAAGATCAGCCCTGAGCTAACATCCATGCCAATCCTCCTCTTTTTGCTGAGAAAGACTGGCCCTGGGCTAACACCCATGCCCGTCTTCCTCTACTTTATATGGGACTCCGCCACAGCATGGCCTGACAAGCAGTGCGTCAGTGCGCGCCCGGGATCCGAACCCAGGCCGCCAGCAGCAGAGCGTGTGCACTTGACCACTACGCTATGGGGCCCACCCCTCATTGATATCTTTTGATAAATAGAAGTTACTCATTTTGATGTAGTTGAATTGATCAATTCCTTTCCTTTATGGTTTGAGCTTTTTGTGTTTTAAAAAATGTTTGCCAAACTAGGGGTCAAAGATATTTTCTTATGTTTTTCTAAAAGTTTTACAGTTTGCCTTTTATAATTTAAATCTTTGAACTATCTGAATTTGGATTTTGTGTATCTGTAAAGAGAGATCATTTTCACTTTTTTTTAAACCAGCGTCCCAGACCATTTATTGGAACTTTTTATCATTTCCCCACTGACTTGCAGTACTAGCCATGATCTGTCAGGTTTCCATGAATGCCAGGGTCTGTTTCTGTGTTCTCTCTGTTATTGTGTTGGCTTATTTGTCTGCACCTGAGCTAATACCATACTGCCTTAATTGCTATAGCTTATGATTCTTAATACCTGATAGAGCAGATCTCTACCAGGTTCTTCAGGATCTTTTGGCCCTTTGCTCTTCTGTAAATTTTAGGACTTGCTTATCACGTGCTTAAAAAAAACCTGTTGGTGTCTTGGTTAGAATTGCAATGCATTTGTAGGGCAAGTTGGGGAAAATTGCATTCAGCTTTGTAGTTGAGAGTAGAGCATCTGTAGTCTCTGTGTAGCCCTCTTGGAGGGAGATTTAGGAGCATCTTAATTTCAGTTAGAGAGATGGAATGTTTGGAAGGTAGGGTACTCCTTGATTCTTCCTATTCCCTGGGGCTCTTCCCTCTCTTTCCAGCCCAACTTCCCACGCTCACTGTTCCTTCCTGGAAGCTGACATCTCTGACACAACTGTGGCCAGAAGCTTTGAGGGTTAGGAATGAGAGTGTGCACCCCTGTGTGTGTATCTACCTGCTTAGCGGCTCCCAGCATTTCTCCAGTAGCATTCTCCTGCCCATATCCTGAGCAGCTGTTTCTCTTTGGTTTTATCCTAATTGCTTTTCATGTTTGGGCATTCCTCGTAGATTTTATTCCCTGATAAATAAAGAGATTTGGTGTAGAAGGGGAGGGCTTAGTCTATCATCTTGAAACAGAAGTCTAGAAGGGAAAAAATTGTATTTTTATTTTAAAAAATCATAATGACCCTAAAATTTTTGCCATCTCTAATGTAAAGCCTGATCTAGAAATATTCATTTTATTCTACTCAAATTTACATCCCCTACTGCTGTCCTTACTAACAGGCAGCTAACAATTTTCATTAAAAGAAAGAAAGACTCTGGAGTATCTTCAGTTATTCATTATTGATTTTAGTCATTGTCATTGGAAAAATTAAGAAAATTATAAGAGTTTATACCTTTTATGACAACTTGATTGAACAAATCTTTTTCACAGCCCTGCTAATATGTGTCATATGTACTCTGTAAGTCATCAGAGATATAGTGATAAGCAAAGCAAATGGTGTCCGTACTCTCATGGCACTAATCAAAAACCTCAGCATGTGAGTACAAACTGTGAACAGTGGTAATAGGGATAGTGTAAGATATCTGTCGTATCTGGGAAGGCTTCCTAAAGAAGTGACATTGGAGCTGAAGACTAAAGGATGAGTGAGTGAAAAGAGTTAGGAGGATTTTGATAGTTAACAAGTGTGTTCCATGCCTAGAAAAGAGTTTTAGTGGCCCCACCACAGGAGAGATCATAGCACGTTCATGGAGCTGAATACAGTTTGGTGTGATTTGAAAGCGGAGAGGGAGAGAGAGTAATAACAGGATGTATGTAGGAAACTACAGACAGCAGAAGAGGCTGAAGAGGTAGGCAGGGAGCAGGTCATAAAGGGCCTTGTATTCCATGCTACAGAGCTCAGATTTTATCTTGTTTCCTGGGGAACCATTACAGAATTTTAAACAGGGGAAAGACCTGGTCACAATTCTGTCCTAAATAGGAGAGACTGGTAGATGTATAGAAAATAGGCTTTGTTGGAGATCTAAGACTGAAGTTGGAAACTAGTTAGGAGGATTTTGCAGTAGTCCAGGTGAGAAATGGCTTAACAAGTCTAGTAGTTTTGATAATGAAAATGGCAGTGAGTCACTGTCTTGGCTTATTTGAGTGGTATAGTATTTATTAACTAAAGCAATTTTTACATCTAATTATTCAATCTGTATGTACCTTCACTTCTGGTTGGTTATGAAGATGCTAGATTTAGAACTGTAAATATCCCTTCTGGTCTAAAAATCTCATTCTAAGATTAATGATAGTAGCCCATACTTACCTCTGCCTATTTGCTAGAGAATGTCCTTCTGTGTCATGGAACAAGTTTAGTTTCACCAGTTTGAAGCTGTTCTGAGTCAAAAGAACAAAGGGATTATCACTGATCCTGTTAGACTAGAAACAGAAGAGTCTTCCTTTTAAAGAGACGGGTTTTTTTAGCCTTAGACTCTAGCTCAAATGTAGCCTAAAAGGTAGTGGCCTGAAAGAATGTGGTGGTGGCATACTTAGGATTCTCTTAAGTATCTTGGGTACAACACATGACTCAGGGGCCCCACCTCTTGACTGAAGGTTGCCGCCTGCCTGCTTATTTTCTTGTCAAATGAAGTTGGAAAATGACGCTAAGAATCTTTTTTTCCCCCTGGTACACTAACAAGTTGTGCATTTTATTAAAAGAAAAATTTTCCTTGGTCCATTACTTCCCATCAAGTGATCCAGTTGCCAGGTGAACATCTGTAGATAGATGACTGTGGGGTTTTTTGTTGTTTGTCCTTGTAGTTCTTGTCTTTCAGAGTTATAAAGGAGTGATTCTGTTTATGTAGCAATATCCTTCCAGCACATCATTTGATTGGAGACATGCTTCAGTATCTTTTTGCTTTAGATAATATTTTTAATATCCCTTTTCCCTCCTACTAGGACTACTAAAGTACAGGGAGTATCTGTGTGTGTGTGTGTGTGTGTGTGTGTGTGTTATATAAAAACAAATGGAATTAGACGGGTTTTTAGGATATTGTGTCATTTTCTTTTAAGTGAACTAAGGTATGTGTGTCTCAAGTTAATCGTTTTCACTTCTTTCCTTTAACTTTTTATTTTATGCTCCTAACACATATGAAACGTTCTTTAATATGTCTCAACTCTTAACATTCCTAAGTTGAAAAATATGGCTGGGCTTTAGACACAACAGGAACTAGGAATTCTCTTGCTTTGTGGCTTGGCTTTCTCCTTTCTGTATTTCTTTCTTATTTCAGACTTTTTTTTCTCTGTGTGTTAGGAAATACAGCCCTCACTAGTTCCTGGGCTTTATTTCTCATAACTTCATTCACTGGTGAGAGGCTGCTTCTCAGAGAGCTAAGTCTGCCTTAGTTTAGGTATTCAACACTGAACCAATCTATCTAACTGGCTGGGAGTGTGTGGGGAACTGTGGCTGACCTGGCTTGAATTAGTTGCCTACCTTGCACCAGTTGTCTGTAATCAGGGTCATATAAGAAAATAGCATCTTTCCCACCATATGCATATCAGAAGTGGGATGCTGACCAGATTTTTTTAAAATAATAAGAAACAAGTACTTTTATAGTATATGAAATTGTATGTTTTTCTTTCAGCACTTCAGAGCCATATAAAGGGTAAACTTTTAGCTTATAGTTGGTTAATAAATATTTCTTTGTATATGCAGGATACCAAGTTAGAAGTCAGGAGACATAAAGAGAAGTAGAGGGCAGGACCTCAGATTACTCACAGTCTAGTGGAAAATGAGAGGTTGTTTATGATAGATGTAATTGTGCATTTCAGTAAAGATAGCAAAATTTATACAATGCTTAACAGTTGCATTTCGCTCTGCTCCTTTCTACAACCAAAGTGCCCTACCCTCTTACCAGAGCCAGATTTCTTATATTTATTTGTGCCTAGGAGACCTAGAGAGGAGATGGACATTTGAGCACAAATTTATCATCATTAGTCAAAAAAATAGTATGTTTCCTGCTAGTGCTAGATCAGTGGCATCTTTGTAAACAAAGAATAGTGTACAGTAACATTCCAACTTTATATGTGCAAACCTATCAAACAACACAACTTTTAGCTCTTTTGTATTAGGAGAATCTTCTGGTTAAACATAGCAGATTGACCACATGCCTCTATTTACTCTCTCTCCCCAGACCCAACTAAAATGACAGTAAAAAAAGAATTTTTTTTAGTATATATGACAAGTGCAAAGAGAATGGGAGAGGAGACAGTAGTATACAAGAGATTTCGATAAGTATCTGAAAGATTGAAGTGGTGGAGAAGTGGCAACTGACTAAGCAGAACAGAGGAAGACATATCCTAAGTATTTGCAGAGGGGACTGTCTATGAGAAGTGAACTAGTTTCCCTTGTAAAAATCTCAGAGGCTCGGGATTTAGAGGCACACGGTATTTGTGTGAGTGTGTGTATGGTGGGCGAGGGGAGTGTAAAACACAGGCTGAAAAAAGGGGGAATTGGTTGAAAATCTATGTAGGAAGTATCAAAGGCCCCTTAGGACCCCATTTTTACCCCATACAGCCATGTAGATATAACTCCTATCCTCTGGGAGAACAAAAGAACAAACTGATGTTTACGTTTATTTGAGGAGAAATTAAACCTGAGATGCTGATTATTATTCTTGTCAGGGGAGCCAGGAAAAGGTGTAGCACCAGAATAAAAAAGGCAGGTTCAATGCAAGTTAACATACTAAACTCCTTTCCTCTGCCCTGCCTTCAGAAGCCTGATTGCTTGACTTAACGCCCTCAGGCAAGACATTGGAAGATTTTTCTCTAGATAAGCAGAATGCCCTGGAAAAAATACTTTAGGTACCCCATTCCCCGCCCCCATCTTTAATGAAAAGGCCGACTTATCTCCCAGTTAACTTTTTAATACTTTTCTACATGAGTAGACAGCAAAGGATCATCAGACATTTGAGGAAAACCTTTAACATGAGAGAATCCAAAACAAGCGGGGATAAAAAGAGAATGTAGAAGAAACAGACAATGTAGGGAGAAATAAACTAACCTGTAAATACACATAAACTATATAATCTTCAAAGAGAGAAGACAAATTGCATCCATGAAACAAGAAAAGTATTCTCAGAGAAAGAACAATCTGAGAACAGTGAGAAAAAATTCTTGGAAAATGAACATTTAAGATTACCAAAACAAAAGATATCAGTAGGCAGAAGATTAGAAGATAGTCAAGAAAACTCTCCCAGATCATTAAACAAAAATACAAAGTTGGAAAATATGAGAGAAAATATAGCAGTTATAAGATCAGACCAAGATGGACTGATCTAGCTAATAATGAACAAAGAAAATAGACAGAAGGAAATAATCAAAGAAATAATAGAAAAGATTTCCTAGATCTGAAGATATGATTTACACATGGAAGGGGCGCACTGAGTATTCAGCAAAATGAGTGAATGAAGATCACATCAAATCACATCATCCTGAAATGTCATAAAAATCACAGATAGGATAGCAATCCCTGTTATACTTCCAGTCAAGATGGAGTAACAGGGACCGGATTTACTCCTCCAACTGAAAGAACTAGAACACTGGGAAAAAATATGCAAAACAGTGGTTTTCAAGACATGGTACATTGGACAATAAAGGATGATGATCCCTAAGAGATGGAAAACAATTGAGGAGTCCTGCAATTGATCCAGCTTACTTCTTGGAGAGAGTTTCCAGGCTGCAGCACAGGAAGGGGCAATTGGGTGGTCTCCTCGAGTTGAGAAATACGGCTGAGATTTGGGGGGTACCAAGGCAGCTAATTTATAGTACAGACACCAGAGAATAAAGAGCTGAACAGAGAGAGAGAAAGAGATCTGCAGAGTCCCCCTCAAGTCTTCAGTAGCACATGCATGTGAGGAAACTACCCAAAGCTGGAGAAAGAACCACTGGAAATGATTAGAGGGAACAGTCCTCAAAGCTCATGCAGGGCCTAGAATATTTCCTGTTTCTACCATTCAGAGTACAAAACATTGGATAGAGTTCTTGCCTCGGGGCAGAATTAACCCTAGATTACATATGCCCCAGTCATAACAAAACTTAAAAAATAATACCTCAAAGGATCAACTCTTTGTAAATTTGTTTTTCTCTTATCTGAATAAACAGCTAAGAATCACCTATTTGGGTCTCAGAACAAAGCTCACAATATTTATTGGAATACAAAAATACCTAGCACCTAACAAGGAAAAATTTTCAATGTCTGGCATCCAATCAGTATTTTCCAGGCATGCAAAGACCCATAATGAGTAAAATCTATCAATTGGAATCAATCCAGAAATGACACAGGTGATAGAATTAGTAGACAAGAACATTAAAACAGTTAAATAACTATATCCCATATGTTGAAGAACCCAAAGGAAAGATTCAGCATATTAAGAAGCAGCAATGGAAGATATAAAAAAGAACAAATCAGGGTTTTAGAGCTGGAAAATACAATGGACAGGCTTAATAGTAGATTAGACATTGTAGAAGAAAATGTTAGTGAATTTGAAGACTATGGCACTGGAAATCATCAGAAATGACACTTGGAGAAAAAAGACTGAAACAAGTGAATAGCTGTGAGACAACTTCAGGCAGACTAATGTAAGTGTAATTGAAGTCTCCAAAGAAGGGGAAGGGGAAGCATTAAAAAATTATTTTTTAAAAATGGCTGAAAACTTCCAAATATAATAGAAACTATAAACCCATAGATTCAAGAAGTTCAGTGAATTCCGAGCACAGGAAACATGATGAAAACTACACCAAGGCACATAATCAGATTGTTTAAAACCAGTGATAAAGAGAAAATCTTAAAAGCTTCCAGACCTTTGGCTCAATTTTCTGTGAACCTAAAACTGCTCTAAAAAATAAAGTCTACTAAGAAAAACAAATGCTTATTGTTGTAAGCCAAAAAAATAAAAATAAAAAGCTGTCAGAAAGAAAAGACACATTACATGTAGAGGAACAAAAAATGACAGCAGACTTTTTGTAAGCAACAATGCAAACCAGAAGACAAGGAGCAACATCTTTAAAGTACTGGAAGAAAAAAATCTGTCAATTTAGAATTCTATATCCTGTGAAAATATCTTTCAAAAATGAAGGAGAAACAAAGACTTTTAAATTGTATAAAAGATGAAAGAATTTATCACCAGCAGAGCTGCACCGTAAGAAATGTTAAACCTAATCCTTTGGCAGAAGGAAAATGATGTCAGGTGGAAATATGGATCTGCATAAAGGAATGAAAATCACTGGAAATGGTAATTTTTTTAAAATCCAAATCTCTTTAAAAGATATCAATTGAGTTTTTAAGAAATGAAGCACTGATAGATGCTATCACGTGGTTTAACTTCAAAACTAAACTAAGTGAAAAAAGCTGTTTACAAAAGACCACATGTTGTATGATCCCGTTTATATGAAATGGCCAGAATAGGCAAGTAAGTAGAGGCAGAAAGAAGATCGGTGGTTGCCTAGAGCTTCGGGACTGGGAGAGGGAGCAATGGGGAGTGATTGCTAATGGGTACAAGGTTTCTTTTAGGGTTGATGAAAATGTTTTAAAGTTAGATTGTGGTGATGGTTGCAACTCTATAAATATACTAAAACCCATTGAATTGTACAATTTAAACAGGTGTACTTTATGGTATACAAAGAATAATGGCTAAAAAACCAACAAAAGAGATAAAAGGGAATTATTTAAAAAATGCTTAGTTCAGTTAAGTGCATGCACTCCGCTGTGGGCGGCCCGGGTTCGGATCCCGGGCGCGCACTGACGCACTGCTTGTCAGGCCATGCTGTGGTAGTGTCCCACATAAAGTGGAGGAAGACCGGTATGGATGTTAGCTTAGGGCCAGTCTTCCTGAGCAAAAAGAAAAGCGGAGGATTGGCATGGATATTAGCTCAGGGCTGATCTTCCTCACAAAAAGAAAAAAAAATATAAAAAATGCTTAGTTAATCCAAAAGAAGAAAAAGAGGAAAATGGAAACAAGGAATAGATAGAGACCATTAGAAAACAAATAATAGGATGGTGAGTTTAAACCCAACTATATCAATAATCACATTAAATGTAACTGATCTAGGCACTCCAATTAAAAGGCAGAGATTATCAGATTGCTAAAGCAGACCTAACTATATGCTACCTACAAGAAATCCACTTAAAAAATATAAAGGATAGGTTAAAATTTAAGGATTAGGTTAAAATAAAAGGATAAAAAAAAAGTATGCTAGCAGTGAAAAGAAACTTGCGTTGTTATGTTCATATCAGACGAGGTAGATTTTAGAGCAAAAAATACTGCTGTAAATATTTAAGGGATAAGGATAAGGAATAGGTTATTTTATAATGATAATGGGGTTAATTCATCAGGATAATAGAACTAAACATGTATGTGCTTAACTATAGGTATTCAAAATACATGAAGCATAAATGGATAGAATTTCAAGGAGAAATAGACAAATTCAGTTATAGTTGGAGATTCCAGTACACTTCTCTCAATAATTGGTAGAACAAATGGACATAAAATTGCTAAAACTACAGCCAACTTGACCAATTGACATTTATAGAACATTCCACACAGTAGAATACACATTCTTTTTAAGTAAACATGGAACATCTACTGAGGTTAATCGTATTCTAAGATCATTTTTAAAAGTTTTCGTAAATTTAGAAGGATTCAAATCACACAAAGTATATTCTGTGACTGCAATGTAACTGAGTTAGAAATCAGTAACAGAAAGATCTCTAGGAATATTTGGAAAGTAAATAAAATACTTCCAAATAAATGAAGAAATCAAAAGGATATTTAGAAAGTAGAGTATATTAAACTGAATGAAAGTGAAAATTCAAAACATTGACTGTAATGATGCTGCTAAAGCAATACTTAGAGGAAAATTTATAATATTAAACACCTGTATTAGAAAAGAAAGATTTCAAATCACCTACTTCAGCTAAGCCATCTTAATAAACTAGAAGAGAAGAGCAGGTGTGATTCAAAGTAAGTAGAAGAAAAGAAATAATAAAAGTCAAAGTGAAGATCAATGAAATAGAAGAAAAAAATACAGAAAAATCAGTGAAACCAAAAGCTGATTCATTGAGAATATCAATAAAATGGATAAACCTCTAGCCAGACTGATGGGGGAAATAAAAGAAAGAAGACACAAATTACCAATATTGAGAATGAGGAAGGTGGCGTCCTTACAGATTTTATAGATATTAAAAAGATAAGGTAATATTATGAACAAATATACACAAATAAATGTAACATGTTAGATAAAGTGGAAAAATTTCTTGAAAAGACACATTTTCAAAGCTCACTTGAGAAGAAATAGGTAACCTGAAAACCCTATATCTCTTAGGAAAGTTTAATTTGGAGTTACTAGCCTTCCCACAAAGAAAGTATCAGACCCTGATAGCACCACTGGTGAATTCCACCAAAGATTTAAGAAAGAAATATTACCAATTCTACACAAACTTCCAGAAAATTGAATAGAAAGGAATACTTCTCAACTCATTTTATGAGACCAGTGTTACCCTGATACCCCAACCAAAGACATTACAAGAAAAGAAAGCTACATACCTGTATCACTCATGAACATAGATGCAAAATCTTAGGAAGATTTTAGCATTAGAATCCAACAGTGTATAAAAAGAGTAATGCATCATGACCAAATGGATTTCATTTCAGGAGTGCAATGTTGCTGTAACATTTGGAAATCAATGTAATCCACTATATTAACAAAATGAAAATGTAAACCATATGTTCACCTCAATAGATGTGTAAAAAGCATTTGATAAAATCCAATATCCATTTCTGATAAAATCATTCTGCGTACTTGGAATAGAAGGAAATACCCTTAATATGATATAGGGCATCTTTGAAAAACCTACTGCTGGCATCAAAATTAATGGTGAAAAAATGACTGATTTCTCCCTAAGATCAGGAAGAATGCAAAGATTTCCCTTCTCACCACTTTTATTCAACAATGTACTAGATGTTCTAGTCAGTGCAATAAGGCATGAAAGAGAAGCAAAAAGAATCCAGAGTGAGAAGGAAGAAGTAAACCTGTCTTTATTCACCAACAACATGATCAGATTTTTATGGGAAATTCTGTGATAACTACAAAAATGCTACTGGAACTAAAAAGTAGGTATAGTAAGTTTTCAGGATATAAGATCAATATTCAAGAATCGACTGTGTTTCTATATGCCATCAATGAACAATTGAAAATAGAAATTTAAAAAGCTGTACCATTTGCAGTAGCAATAGAAATTTTGAAATACTAAGGCAGAAATCTGGGAAAAGCAGTGAGAGATCTGTACATCGATAACTATAAAACATTGCTGAGAGAAATTAAAGAACTAAATAAACAAATTCACTGTTTTCATGGATTAAAAGACTCAATATTGTTAAGAAATCAGTTCTTCCTAAATCGATCTATGGATTCAATGCAGTCCCAATCAAAATCCCAGCAGGCTTGAAATCATCAAGCTTGAAATTATCAAGCTCATTCTAAAATTCACCTGGAAATGGGAAGGACCTAGACTAGCCAAACAGCTTTGGAAAAAAAAAAGTTACAAGGCTTATACTATGTAGTTTTCAATGCTTATTTTAAAACCACAATAATCAAGGCAGTCTGGTATTGGCGTAAAAATAAGAGATCATTGCAACACAGTTGAGTGTCCAGAAATAGACCTGCACATACATATATGGACAGTTGATTTTCAACAGTGGTTCAAAATGGCATTGGCCTTCTAAATAGCAACACTGAAAATTAGAAGAAATTCTGAGGGGGGGGGAAACATTTTCAACCTACGTATATATATATAGTCAAGAATTATCAAGGGGTAAACCAAGAAGAGGAAAACATAGGATCCAAAAAAGAGTTTCTAGCACAGGGTAAAAGTGAAGGAATGTCGTAGGACAATAGCTGCGCCAGAAGCTTAGGCATAAACAGCTGCACACGAGAGCAGGACGATCTGAGAGCAAGGAGTCTAGGGGGAAAAAAAAAGAACTGATGTGTTTGAATTTACAGAGAATATTATCGGTAGGTATGTGGCAGAAATGTTGCAAAAATAGTTGGTGGAACCACAGAAAAACTGGGAAACTTTACAATATAGCAATTATTAACTTCAATCAAAAGGAGGGTTAGAGTTGCACAAGAAAGGTCAGATGGTCTTTGTAAACTGCTCTCCTGTACAGTGCCTATTAGTTACATGGTCATAGTAACAGACGTCGTTCTTTCTGGATGAACATGGCCAAATGGAAATAGGATTGGATAGGCTTTGTTTTCCAAATTCCTCGGTATCTGAGATGTAGGCCTTTATTTATGAGAGAACCAGTGTTGTAAGGGGCTGTCTGTTCTGCCCTGTGCCCTTTTATTCAGGCCTGGTGCTGGGTCAGTCCATGTGCCTTTTTAATCAGGACACTGGTTGTCCCCACTCCTGCTTGATGGTAGGATAGGTTACTGTACTTCACTTATCAGTTTCCTATCAGCCAGTGTTTTTAGGGGAAATCTCTTTTCTAGAAATGACTTGGTTCCTAATCTGTTTTAGGAAAAATGTGAACAAATGATTATGAGTATTTTTATTAATCCTGTTTAAATAGTCTCATTCTTTTTTTAATGCCCTCTAGGAAGTAAGAAGAAAGAGAAGGAACGGCCAGAAATTTCTCCTCCATCTGATTTTGAGCACACCATCCATGTTGGCTTTGATGCTGTTACTGGAGAATTCACTGTAAGTTTACCTAGTTGGGGCTCATTTATATATCAGCACTCAAACCTTTCCTTTCAGTATTAAGTTTGAAGTTAACTTCTCTATCCACATGTTGACTGGGAATTCTTAGCGCTTTTCTCTTCTTATAAAAGTGTTTGTGGTTGGGGGTATCTTTTTCCTAGCGAGCAGAGCCTATTAATTATAATTATGCAAAATAGATTTAGAAAAATAGACCTTTACAAAACTAGACCTTTTAGAATTTAGTCAACCCTACAATTGTGTAGATTGATTTGTTTTATGTGTTTTGTCATTTACCCGTGGAAATTGACTTTAGTAGAGCAACTCAAAACAACTAATTTCTGAATATCTTTTTCTTAGGGCATGCCAGAACAGTGGGCTCGATTATTACAGACCTCCAATATCACCAAACTAGAGCAAAAGAAGAATCCTCAGGCCGTGCTGGATGTCTTGAAGTTCTATGACTCCAACACAGTCAAGCAGAAGTACCTGAGCTTCACTCCTCCTGGTAAGACATCAGACAACGTGAAAAGGCTGGTTCAAGTGGAATTGCAGAGTTGTACTTCTAGATAAAAAGATTGCTTCTGGGAAAATAAAGAGCTAAGCTATGGTTCTTGTCTCTCCTTTTTCCCTGCATAGATCTGCCTTTTGTAAACTGATTGGGGCAGCTCTTGTGCGTAATTTGGAGTCTGGGGATTATATGAACCTCTTAGTTTTGCCAAAAGTGCGTGTTTTGGCCTTTGATTTATTTGTATTTTCTCTTCACTGCTTTTGAATGACTTGCAGCGATAGAAAGGAAAGAAAGATGCTGATTTATAGGCATGTTCATACTAGAAATATGTTTCTTCTTAGTGGGACAGGAGGAGGGTTGTTTTACTATATAAATGTACAAACTCTGAAGTAAAAAATGTTGAAGTCCACTCAAAAATTGAAACTTATCAAATATGTAAACATAAAATAAGCATTAGAACTAAATGGATTTATACTTCAGAATTGGAATATCCTCAGGAAAGAATTGGAGAATAGTGGATTTAAAAAAATAGTTTATTCAAGTAAGGATCAGATAAAGTCTATATGTTACAGTTGATTGCTATATCTTTTGAGATTTTTTTATTTATTTTATTTTTTCCCCCCAAAGCCCCAGCAGATAGTTGTATGTCATAGCTGCACATCCTTCTAGTTGCGGCACGTGGGACTCGGCCTCAGGATGGACGGAGAAGTGGTGCCTCTATGCGCACCCGGGATCCGAACCCGGGCCGCCAGCATTGCAGCGCGCGCACTTAGCCACCAAGCCACAGGGCCGGCCCATGATTGCTATATCTTTTGAATCTCCTTTGATATTTAGGCTTCCTCTCCTTTACACTTCTCATACTCTCTTTTCCTTGGAATTTATTTGTTAAAGAAACAAGATCATTTGTCCTGTTTCCCTCAGTGTAGATTTTACTAATTACATCTCCAGGGTGTCATTTAGTATGTTTCTCTGTACCCTGAAGTCATACATGTAGTTTTTACAAACAATATGGTTGAGCTAAAATCATACATGTAGTTTTAATTCATTGTACTTAATTTGATTGCATCCTCGCAGAAATAAGGGCTGTTCTCAAGGAAGAAATAGAGACCACTTGGCAAGTGATGAACTTTTTACTTAGCCTAGTAGATGCTTAGCAAAAGGTCAGACTTGTCCCTAGAACTTTTGTGTCAACTAGTATGTGTCAGTGAGTAAATCTTTTTTTTTTAAAATCAATGTTCGACCAGAAAATGGTATATTCTTATCATTTTATGTGTGTGTGTGTGTGTGTGTGTGTGTGTGTATATGTATATGTATATGTATATATATATGAAGGCTCCGGGCATTTTAAAAAGTAAAACAAAATAAAACTTGCTCTTCTAAATTCCAGAATGAATATTTTGACTTTGAGTCTTCATGAACTGTGTTTTGCCCTCAGTGATTTGTTTTCATATTGATCAAAATTTATGTCAAGAATTTTCCGGGGTCGGCCTCGTGGCGTAGTGGTTAAGTGCGTACGCTTCGCTTTGGTGGCCCGAGGGTTTGCAGGTTCGGATCCCGGGCGCACACCGACGCACGGCTTGTCAAGCTACGCTGTGGTGCCATCCCATGTAAAGTAGAGGAAGATGGGCACGGATGTTAGCCCAGGGCCGGGCTTCCTTGGCAAAAAGAGGAGGATTGGCATGGATGTTAGCTCAGGGCTGATCTTCCTCACAAAAAAAAAAAAAAAAGAATTTTCCTTTGCACAGTTGCCATTATTTGAATGGTTGCTTTAAGTTCCTCAATACCAATTTTCTGGAGAAAGTATTGTTATGAATAAACTTCTGTTTTGTTTTAATAAAGATTGACAGGTATAGTTTCAAATAAATTTTCAATAACTTTATTAAGGTATAATTTACATGTTATAAAATTCACTCATTTGAGGTATACAGTTCAATGATTTTTATTAATTTACCGAGTTTCATTAAGATTTGAGATTTGTTAGCTCAATCTTGTATAAATTCCTGTCTGAATACTGATCTTGTCATTTTTCTCAAGGCTTAATTCATCTTAAAATGAAATCAATATAAGAACATTTTACTTGTTCTGCTTTATATTTTCTTCCTTTTATTATATACAAGTTGTTTTATTTTTTGAATTGTTAACTTAGCATTATTTTTTGTTTCATATTTAGAGAAAGATGGCTTCCCTTCTGGAACACCAGCAGTAAGTTGTTATTTCTTGTAGCTCTTGTTCTAATTTGTTACCCAAAACAAATCTGTTTTTATTTTGCTTTCTAAAATAAATTACAGCCATCATAAATAAACTACTTAATATATGTTTTTAGCTAGCATTTGATTAGTTGAGGAAGCTGTATTAAGCAAATAGAATTTCCTTGATACGATACTTAAAGTAACCAAAGCTGCTTATGACCTTTAGAGCAGTTTAGCTACTTTTGGTAGTGTTTCCCTATACAAGCATGAATACAAAGAACTTGCTAGCATTTTCCTCTGGCACCATTTTACTGAATATAGATTATGGAAACATACTGAACAACAGAAGCCTGTCAGAGTCTTCAGAGTTGTCTGGAACTTTATCTAAGTTATTGTGTAAGCACAGTGCAGACAGTCACTGTTTTATTTTCACGTCTTCAGTTGGGAGGAAACAGTCTCCTGGAGTTATGTGAAGACTAAATGTGATAACATGTAAAGTACCCACCTAGCACACATGTGGCGTGTATCATAAGCTCTGTCTAAAGGTTAATGCCTTCCCCTTTTGTTTCATTAGCTACCGTTTTTTTCTGGTGAATCTGGCTGTTTTAAATGACTGAAAATCACTCTGACTTATACAAAGAGGATCTTTGTTCTTCGTCTTAACAAATAAAGTGATTTTTTACTTTTAAGGCTTGTGTAAAGGGTGTAAAATTCTTCATATAAAGGGTATAAATTCCCCCTTAAAAATACCTGATATTTACTGTATACATTTATTTCATAAGCTTACTTTTCTATAACTTACAAAATTGCCTTTATTTTTTAAATGATTAGATTAGACCCAGTGAGGTTTTAGCGTCTTGAAATGAGATATTGAAGAAATACATTTTTTCAAGTATGTTAAAAAAGAGAGAGAGTCGTATTTTAATGTATTGTTACATTTGACTTGTCTTCTTTACTTTGCTCCTGTAATAAATGCAGCTGAATACCAAGGGCTCAGAAACGTCAGCAGTAGTAACAGAGGAGGATGATGATGACGAAGAGGCTGCTCCTCCTGTCATTGCCCCGCGACCAGATCATACAAAATCAGTGAGTGTCTGATCAGTGAACTGGGCTGTGTGTGTCTGTGCATGTGTGTTTTTAAAAACAGCAGTCTGTATTTGACTTCCAATGATTAATTCTTAAAAGCCCTCAGGCTTAAAATACTTGAGTATGGGGAAGTTTGACTAGGAGATCTTTACCTAAAACCACTCATCCAAAAGACCTAGTTTTTTAAAAATTAAAATCGAATGGCTTCTGTAAAAGTTAAAATACTTATTGTTTTTTCTTTCTGTATTACACCTTCTCTTCCAGAAAATTCATCTGTTTCTCTGGCTTTCTCTGTTTATCTTGATGCAGATAACTCCTATGTCAAAAACTTAGATCTTACTTTTTACCCAAATTATGTATTTTATCTCCCACCTTACATTTTTCTCAAAGCCTTGGTGTCATTCAGGAGGCTGCTGAGAGTGAAACTGCTAACCTGATACAGGAGAGTTTTAACAATGACCTTAGACAGAGATAGACAGAGTCCTGTCCCTCTCCGTGTGCTAATACAGGTGAAGTGTGTGGGGAGGTGCTGTGCAGTGAGTGATGGAGACGGGGCACAACTAGAAGGCTCTGAGGATGGCCATTGGATCCTGTTCTAATGACAGAGGCCTCTATTTTCTTTATTTCCTAGAACTGGCTATTTGAAATAAAATGATAGAAATTATATTTGTGTAAAAATTTTTGTGGGAATTAATAGTTATTTCAGCATCAAAGTTTCTGTTACTTTGCTCTTTATTTCTCTTTTGTTGTAAAAACATGATTTTTAAAAATCAAAGAACTGAATAGTGTGCTAGTAAGAATACCTAAAATTATTTTTTCTCAAATCTCAGTAATTAACTGTCTCTCTGTAGATTTATACACGGTCTGTAATTGACCCTATTCCTGCACCAGCTGGTGAATCTAATGTTGATGGTGGTGCCAAGTCTTCTGACAAACAGAAAAAGAAGACCAAAATGACAGATGAAGAAATTATGGAGAAATTACGTATGTTACCTACATTTTACATTATTCTTAAATTGTTAACAGCTCTTAAATTGAAACATTTGGCCCAGGTGGATTTTAATTTATACCTTATATTTTGGCTTAAGACATAAAAAAAATGAATTATTTTCTTCTAGGAGCAATAATAGCTTCCATTAAAATCTAGTGAAGCCAAAATAATACTCTTCTTTGGTGGTTTATTATGTGTTGACGAGTGTGCAGTGTCTTTGCAATAGTCAGTACCTTTGAAAGCAATACTTTTTCCTGAAGGGCCAAATCTAAAGGTCATATTGGAAACTTTATCAAAGGAAGTTTGTATATATTTAAGTATACCTGTAGCTTCTCAGTATGAGAATACAAAATGTCCCTAAATACTAAAAAAAATGGCCTTCCTGTATAGATGTATGTATAGGCATAAAATCTACTTTTTTTCTCTTTTCCCCTTTCATCCATCAACTGTCATTGGCCTGGATCAGGCATTGGAAATAATGTACACAGTGCCAGGGAGAAGGTAGCAATAACGTCTGATTACAAGTCTACGGCGACTATAGTTATAAAGAACACTGACCCAGAGGGATCAAGGAAAAATTAGTTATAGTGGCTGTAGACTTGAGGTTGGGTTCCTGTTTAAAATTGGATTATTTATGTGGGTTTCCTTGATATGCCTCTGTCTACTTTTACCTTGAGCAAGTAAAAACTTAGTGTGGTTTACCAGTAATAAGATTATAAGTTATGTTTTTATGTTCAGCATCCTAATTTTAAAACCTGTTTCTTAGCTGTGACTTCGTGAACTTTCCTAAAGCACATGTATGAGTAGTTAATATTAAAGTAGAGTAATCTTTATAGTAATAAATGGTTTCCTAAATATATTGAAAGATAGAAGATACATGGGAAGAGTCAGAAAAGCCATTTAGGATTATTCATTTGGATATCATTTAGATATTATTTCTAATGGTAAGTAGTTTCATAACTTATCAGTAGTTTAATACATTTCAGTGGAATATGAAAAGTAGGATGGCCAACTCGTCCTTTCCCCAGAAATTTTTCAGTTTTAAGACTGAACATCCCACATCCTGAGAACCCCCTTAGTCTCAGGCAAAATTCTACAGTTGGTCTTTTTAAAATGTGATCATTTTTGAGAAAGTGATATGATTTAGTTGGGAGGTCTAACTTAGTGGAAATAATGTGTCTTCTTGCTTCTGATACTTTTTTTATTACTTAAGTCTTGTTAGTGTTTTGTTTTTGAAACTTAGTGTTATGTTTGAAAACCACTGTTCTAAAGTCAGTGTTTATTAAAAGGAATAATGATATCAGAATTAATTTACAGTTTCAAAATGCTTGACTGAGCTTCCAACTTTTTGTTGTTTTTGTTTAAAATAGGAACTATTGTGAGCATAGGTGACCCTAAGAAAAAATATACAAGATACGAAAAAATTGGGCAGGGGTAAGTATTTGTGACTGTCTTACTACAGTATTCAGTACTTCCTAGGTATACAGCATGATATCTCTTTTGCCTGCTGACATGGAGCACTTACAGTGTTCTTTAAGTGGTATCCTTGAATTTGTGTAAATAAGTAATGCATTTATTTCTAGATGCTATTAACAAAACTGTGCTATTTAGCAATGATTATACATTGTTTCTTCTTAAATGTTATTTCCCATTGGTGGTAAGAGATTAGATGGCTGGAAAAATTGCCCATCAAATATATTTAAAAGACAGTAAGAACTCTTTTACTACAAGATTATAGGCAATAAAAACATGCATTTTAATCACATCATTGAGTATTGATCTTTGAGTCTACTGATCTTCTGATTTTGTCCAATAATTTGTATTTTTAAACTACACTAAGTAAACTCTTTTTTTCTGTTGCTTGGGAGCAAATGAAAGTCTTGAATTTTTAATGCTCTTAATCTCTGGGAAGTGTTTTGTGAATTTAGAAAGAGAGCTTAAGTATTTTTTGAACACTTCCTTACGAATTTCCTTTTAAAAACTAAATTCAGTTGCAGCACTGGTTTTATTTTTTTTATTTTTTTAATTTTTTGTGAGGAGATCAGCCCTGTGCTAACATCTGCCAATCCTCCTCTTTTTTTGCTGAGGAAGACTGGCCCTGGGCTAACATCCATGCCCATCTTCCTCCACTTTATATGGGACGCCGCCACAGCATGGCTTGCCAAGCAGTGCATCAGTGCGCGCTGGGGATCTGAACCAGCAAACCCTGGGCCGCCGCAGTGGAGTGCGCACACCTAACCGCTTGCGCCACTGGGCCAGCCCCTGCAGCACTGGTTTTAATAACAAAAAATTAGAAATCATCTTAATAATCTTGAGCATGATAATGGATAAATTGTAATATGTTGAATAATATATATTATAATAATAATTATGAATGAATAAGAATAACACCTATCCGTTTGGATGACCTTCCCAAATCCAATGTTGAATTAAAAAGGCAAATTGCAGAAAAATATATAAAATGAAACAGTTTTGCTGAAGTTTAAAAATTATGCTCAATATATTCTATAGTGGTACATGCCTCTGTCCTTTGTAGTTAAAGCATAGAGAAATGCATGGAAATACTGCACATCAAATACAGAATAAACACCAAACACAGATTACTTTGGAAGGAGGGAGGATGCCTTTGGAAAGGGCACACAAGAAATTTATTTGCAGTTCTTTATTCTCGAGCAGGGAAGTAGAGCCATGAGTATATGTTAATTTTTTCTTTATCTTTTTACTACATTTTTGTAGATATGAAATTTATGACAAATTTCTAACACAAGTTTTGGCCACAAGGATTGCCTCTTTTTCTTATTTTTCTCCCCTTTTGTTTTTGCTTTTATTCCTGTTAAAGATGTTAGGTCTTAAATGTTCTTTAATCCTTTTTCAATTGTTCTAAGTATAAAGTGTTTGGATGTTATAAATGATAGTCATTTATAAACCTTAAATCTTGTTGTGTCTTTTTCCCCCAGGGCTTCTGGTACAGTTTTCACTGCTACTGATGTGGCATTGGGGCAGGAGGTAGCTACTTTTTCATACTTCTGGGTGTTACCATTAGCTTTTAGTGTAGGAGGAAACTAAATAAACCTGTGCATAATCAATAGGAATCTCTTTTTCAGTTGAATATGTTGAAAGAATTACTTTATGTAATTTTATAGCACTTATTAATGAGAAAAAAGGAATTCTGTGTTGTTTCATAAATAAGCAGATATTTAAAAAATCATCTTCCCAGCTTGAAATGAAAAGAGGATTAATTCCTGGCGCTAGGCTGACCTTGGGTTGGTTAATCAGCTTCAAGAGAAATCTAAAAATAGTTAGGCTCTATGTATTACAAAGCATTGTGCGTAGGCCATGTGGAACTACAAGTACTACCTATGAGTAAGTTATAATCTCATTGTTTAATGTAATATATATATACAATAAATTAAATTATTAACTGGTATTTGTAATTTTCTAAGAGAATTAGGAAACTTCTTTTGATTTTTTTTTTTTTTAATTCTGTTTCCATAATAGGTTGCTATCAAACAGATTAATTTACAGAAACAGCCAAAGAAGGAATTGATCATTAATGAGATTCTGGTAATGAAAGAACTGAAGAATCCCAACATAGTTAACTTCTTGGACAGGTAAGTCTCACGGTTCTGAAGGCTAGCCACTTTAGTTACGCTAGAGTATAATGTCAGTGCTGAAAAGTAAGCTTGAAGGAGGAGAGGTAAAAATAGCAAAAAATAGCACATTACAGTTTAGCATGTCCTGTTTCTACATAGATATCACTTGGCAAGTGAGAGACAGCAGTTAAATAAAGGACATTGCTCCTGGTGCTTATATTAATTACAAATGATCAGAAGAAATATTAAGGAAAGGTTGGCTGTGATTCATGTCTTGATGACAGAGGTTACTGGCCACAAGGTTTTTAAACTTCTAAATTAATTTTTATTTCAAATGCTGTTTTTCACAGACGGATAGTATGTCTATCAAAACTTCATTTAGGGCCGGCCCCATCGCTTAGCGGTTGAGTGCCCGGGCGCGCACCAGTGCACCGCTTCTCCGGCCATGCTGAGGCCGCGTCCAACATACAGCAACTAGAAGGATGTGCAGCTATGACATACAACTATCTACTGGGACTTTGGGGAAAAAAAAAAAGGAGGAGGATTGGCAATAGATATTAGCTCAGAGCTGGTCTTCCTCAGCAAAAAGAGGAGGATTAGCATGGATGGTTAGCTCAGGGCTGATCTTCCTCACAAAAAAAAAAAACTTCATTTAATTTAGGAATTGATATTAAATAGCAGAACAAAAAGCAGAATAGAAAATTATGTACCTTACAAGTATGTGGGTTTTTTTTTAAGCAATTACATATATGTAAATAAAAGAAGAATAGTAGAAAAATAAATGAAAATTGTAATCGTGATTGTTTTGGAGATAGACGATTATAGGTGATTTTGTTATTTCCATATTTAAATTTGTTTAGAATGGGGAAAAGACACATTTTTAGACTTTAGCCCCTAGTTATGGGAACCATGTTCATAGAAATAAACTTTCCAGGTACATTTCTCTGCTTTTTAAAATAGTGTTTCAAGTCAGTTTAGCATGGTGGTTAAGATAAGCCGTAAGCTGTGGAATCAGTTACACTTGGCTTCGGATTCTGGTTCTGCCACTAATTGGCTGTGTGACCTTGGGTGAGTTATTTAACCTCTCTAAGGCTCCATCTCTTGATCTGTAAAGCAGGACGAATAATTCCTACCTTACGGGGTTATTTTAATTGGAATAATCCATGTACCCACTCAAGTTACAATTGTGGGCAAACTTCAGAGTGATTCAGGAGAATCGTAATGATCCTCAGTTATTTTTCTGACAGCAGCTTTCTTCCTAGCTCTCAAAGCTACCAGCTTTCTCATTTTGTTCTTAGGGTGCCTAACATTTGAATTCTTCAACATGGAGTGCCACATGTTTAGAAAAGGTAAAAATGTGAGTGTATTTTGTGTGTTCTTTTAGTTACCTGATGGGAGATGAATTGTTTGTGGTAATGGAGTACCTTGCTGGGGGATCACTTACTGATGTTGTAACAGAAACCTGCATGGATGAAGCACAGATTGCTGCTGTATGCAGAGAGGTGAGTTTGCTCCCTTTTCAATAAGTTATGGTGATACATGGTTAGTAGGAGGTAAAAAACGGGGAAGATTTTTGCACATCATTTTTATCGTGAGAGATACTCTCTCTGTACACATTATCTGCAATTTATCTCCATACCATTTCATCCTCCGTAAGAATTTCAACCCTTCCTTCATGTGTAAGATAATTCTGGAATGAAGCATGGACCTGTGAAGAGCCCAGCTCACAGGCAGATTTCAGTGAGAGGATCATTATAATTTATCTTCCAAACAGGATACTATTGAAAGTGAAAGCGGGTACCATTAAAAATACACCACTCAGGCCGGCCTGGTGGCATTGTGGTTAAGTTCAGGCGCTCTGCTTCGGCAGCTTGGGGTTCGCAGGTTCGGATCCCGGGCGCGCACTGATGCACCGCTTATCAAGCCATGCTGTGGCGGTGTCCCATGTAGAGTAGAGGAAGATGGGCACAGATGTTAGCCCAGGGCCAATCTTCCTCAGCAAAAAAGAGGAGGATTGGCAATAGATGTTCGCTCACGGCTAATCTTCCTCAAAAAAAAAAAAAAATACCCCACTCAACAGTGGAAATAAGGACTGTCTCAGGCAAAGCTGGGCACATGTTCACCTTCAGTATTAATAAGTCTGCTTCTGGCTTTATTAATCTCATTGAAGGTGAAGAAACTGGTTGTTTCTTGACATTCATTGATGAGTTTCTAACATTGTTTGCTTAAGCCAGTAGAGTTCTGCCAGATCACCTTAGTCTAAGCAAAAAACGAGCCTTCCTTCTTCTATTTGATCTTTTTCTACAGGTGAGACTTAGGTTATGATTTGCTTATTGTCACTGAAACTGATATTACTTTCTTTGAATATCATAGGAGTCATTGTCACAAAGGACAAAATTGTAAAAGTTTTTAAGACTATTGTGTTTTCTATGATTTGGCTTTCAGCATTTTTACAGTGATACATAAGTGATTTATAAACTTTGCTTATGTAAAGTTTATATGGTGTTAAAAAAAAAGTCTTCTTTGAAAATTTTAATTCTGAGTTAATTATGCTCCACCTAAGAGATAGCCCTTGATTGTTTGAGGAGGGAAGGGAATAAGAACTCTTTAATAGTTATGAATATGATAGTTTAATAATATGATATCCCTTAACAAAGAATGTTTGATGGCTTAAAAGCTGATAAAAACTTAACAAGAATTTATCTATTTAGGGCCAGCCCCGTGGCTTAGCGGTTAAGTGCGTGCGCTACGCTACTGGTGGCCCGGGTTCGGATCCCGGGCGCGCACCGACGCACCGCTTCTCCGGCCATGCTGAGGCCGTGTCCCACGTACAGCAACTAGAAGGATGTGGAACTATGACATACAACTATCTACTGGGGCTTTGGGGGAAACAAAAAAATAAATAAAATTTAAAAAAAAAATACTTCTTTAAAAAAAAAAAAAAGAATTTATTTATACTTAATTTGTTTTTCTAATTTTTTTTCATAATTGATATAAAAAATATTTTAGGAGTTCCTCTAATTGTGACAACTTTGTTTCTATTTATTTGTACAAGTATTTTTCTGGGATTTGTTCTTTTCAGGAATCTGCTTAAATGGTTGGTAAATGTAGTGCTATAATACATAGTTTATCTGTTTTTTCCTTGAATGAGTAGTAGAATATTTTTAATGAGATTTTTAGTTGTTATTAATGATGTACAGACTTTATTTGTTCTACTCTGATTGGGGTAAGAAATAAAAACAACTTTTTCCATGTTTACAATTTATGCTCAGTTTATATTAAAAAACGGGCAAGCAGATTTTAAAAATCTAATCTCATTCTTGTATTTAAGGAAAGGGGAAGAGTTTTTCCTCACTTTTAACTTAGTGCTTTCTGAAATGTGGCATAAGAGGCAAGTTATTCTTTAATAACTGGTGTCTAGGTTGTGGATATAGCTTTATGTAAAATCCGCCATAGAAGAAGTGAGGAAAACACCTTATATCACATTTGATGAACAGCTGAATGGAACCAAACACCCAGGATCTTACCCACTTTTCAGTGGCTTACATAGACTTCTGAGTCTCAGATTCAAGTGAGAATGAGCACAAGTTTACCCTTTACTGTTGAAATGATTTCTAACGAGCCTTGTGCATCTTTACTGAGTGCTGCATATCTTTAGGCATTTACGCCTGAAAAGGCCTAGAAATTATATAGACTCACCCATCATTTTATAAATGAGAACCTTGAAGACTGAGTGATATTCTTAGGATTTTAAATAATCCATGGCAGAAATAGGACTAGATAAGACATCATTTAATAATTGTCTCTGGGAAAGACCAGAGAGTGGGAGGAGGGGAATCTAATTAATTAAGGTGTCTTATTTTCATAACTTTGCCCATGAGAAGATGTTTTTTCTTTATAAATGTAAGTATTAGAATGTCTTCTGCTGGATACTAGAAGCAGTGCTCAGGCCATAAGTACTGTATGTGAACCTCCCTTAGACTTTTCAAGGACTGATTCATTGATAGTTGTTTTTCTTCTGTTCAGTGTTTACAGGCATTGGAGTTTTTGCATGCCAATCAAGTGATCCACAGAGACATCAAAAGTGACAATGTGCTTTTGGGGATGGAAGGATCGGTTAAACTTAGTGAGTAACAAATGAACAAATAACATTTATTTGTTATTTATTATAATTTTCTGCCTTGTATTTAAGTAAGAAAATCTCTTCTGCTAAAAATAGTTTTATGACTTAATATATGGAGGAGGAGGGAGAATAGTGGTAAAGAGTATGGACTCTCAGCTGGACAGGTTGGGTTTAAATAGCAGATCTGCTACTACTGGCTGAATAGTTTTGGGAAAGTTACTTAATCTCTTTGTGTCTGTTTTCTCATTTGTGTGATAAGGAAGATAATAGTACTTATCTCAGAGAATTCTTCTGAGGGTTAAAAATGTAAAGTGCTGGGAAACAGTGCCTGGGACTGTCAGAATGTTGGTGCTGTCTTCCAAAGATAAACTTGAATTTGTCTCTGTCATCTGTTAGGGCAGATTCTTTTCATTATGCTGTTAGCTTTCTTTGGATTTGGTAGAGCATGGCCTAATTGGTGGAGGGCTATGTGATCCTGATCTTAGAGATGACAAGGAAAAAACCCCATGTAAACCTTTTTCTCTAATTATCTTCTGTATCAGGCATGGTAGAGTTGTGGGGGGAAAATCCTAAGCTTCCTTTTCCTCTGCTGGCTGTAATCTGTTAGTTCCAACTATGCCTTCTGGAGGATTCAAGAAGAACTTCTACTGAGGTTTCTCCAGCTGTGCAAAAGTCAAGGCATTTCTCGGATCTCGGAAAAACCAAAAAATTTTTTCTGTTCTGCTAGAGAGTTTGGCTCCTTTTTCAACATCTCTTTTTTAAGATACATCCTCCAAAGGTTATTCAACCATAAGAAATGGGGTCTAGGTTCTGTCAGATGGTCAACATATGAGATTACTAATCTTAATCTTAGTGGGCAAGTTAGAATTGGGCATTCTCATGCATTTTGGGGATACACATGTAAATAGAATTAGACTTTTGGGGATAATATTTTATCCTGGTTCTGCCACTTATTAGATGAATGATCTTGGGTAAGTTACGTAAAATTATGTGTGTCTCCGTTTCCTGATTTGTAAAATGGGAATAGTAATAATAAATGTACCTATCTCATAGAGTTATCATGAGGATTAGGTATGTTAATTCTTATAAGGTACTTGGAACAGTACCTGGTTTGTTATAAGCACTCATTTTAGCTATAAATATTATGACTTGACCTAATAATTGCTCTTTTAGGATTCTCTCTTATAGAATTACTGAACATACACACAACAATAAGTACAAAGATAGTCTCTGCAACATTGTGAATAAAAACCAAAAATAGCTTAAATTTAATGTCCAGCAGTATGGGAATGGTTAAATAAATTATGATATTTTTATATTCTGTAATATTGTGTAGTTATAATAATGAGGTAGATCAATGTACTAATATGGAAAGATCTCTAAAAATAAATTGTTTTAAAAAACAGTTTACAAAATATCCTACTTAGGTAAAATAAAGCAAGTGATTCATAGATATTATTTGTATATACGTATGTAAATGTATAATGAAAAGTCTAAAGCTTATAAACCTAAATGTTAACAGTAGTTACATATGAGTAGAATGAGTCTTAGCAGTAGAAGGGAGGAAAAACTCTAGATTCTCATCCTGACTTTCCGACTAAATTAACACTGTGTACTAAACTAGGCCTTCTCAGTTATACAGTGAGGTGGTTGGAGTAGAACGATGCTGGTGACAACCTTGTAGGTTCAGTTGCAGTTAAATGTGTTCTTTTTCTAGGCTCTCTGCTACGTCGGATGCTTAGTAATTCTAGCTCCTGTTTATTTTCTTCAAAAGTAGTTACCACTTCATGACCTTTGCCTAATTCACAGTGTTTCATTTTGATGTCCACCTTTGGTGATTTTTCTTTTAAACCTTTTTAAAATTTTTAGGATAAGATTAATTATTTAGAATAAAAGACTTCCTGATAATTTACCTTCTGCTCATGGGAAGTAAAAATAAACCAATGAGCGTATGTAACATCAAAACATTTGTAAACTGTTTTTACATTCTGGTTTTACTATATTAATACAGGTTTGAAAAACAATAGACTGAATGTCAAATGTAATTAGTTAAATCATCTAAAGTGAACTAGTAGATAAAACCATCCATGGACACCGTTAACCCTAGATGTTTTGTTTTGTTTTATAGCTGACTTTGGTTTCTGTGCTCAGATCACCCCTGAGCAGAGCAAGCGGAGTACCATGGTTGGAACGCCGTACTGGATGGCACCAGAAGTGGTCACACGGAAAGCTTATGGCCCTAAAGTGGACATATGGTCTCTGGGTATCATGGCTATTGAGATGGTAGAAGGAGAGCCTCCATACCTCAATGAAAATCCCTTGAGGGTAAGACCAATTAAACACCAGCCTTATTTTACGAAAAATACTTTTATTTAAAACCTTTATTCAGAACCTGCTTGTGCCAGGCACTGGCCAAGAATTTAGGATACGAAGTTGATAAAATCTAGTCTCTGCCCTAAGTCTGCATCTAAAAATCATTTGCTTCTGGGTTATTGAGTTGAATGTGTTAGGTACAGAGTCTGAAGATTTTTAATAAGCTGTATAGTTTCTAATTGTGTCCATAAGTAGGAATTTGCTCACTTTTCTACAGAGTGAAGGGTCCCTAGATACACCCTTCAGGTTATCAACTTTGAACCTTGGCCTCTGTACCCCCAGGTACAGAGAAGAGGAAAGCAAGATCACATCTGTGAGAGAGCTGTGTAGATGGCAATGTTAAAGCCCATATTCAGACAAGAGAGTGAGGGTCCTGAGAGGCAGAGGAGGTCAGTAGACTTTCAACAATTAAATACTCCCACAGCTGAAGTGGAAAATTTGGGGTCTGTTTTTTCTGTCTGTCTTTTTTGTTGTTGTTGTTTTGTTTCTTTTTTTCCTTCAACTGCTACTTTTAAGTTACTGTAGTAAATGGCTCAGTATCATTTGTTATTAAGGAAATGCAAATTAAAACCCCAACAAGGTACCACTTCACACCTACAAGAATGACTGTAATCAAAAAGACGGACAATGATAAGTGCTGATGAGAATATGGAGAAATTGGAACCCTCATACGTTGCTAGTGGAAATGTAAAATGGTGCAGCCCTGTGAAAAACAATTTGACAGTTCCTCTAAAAGTTAACATTGACTGACCATATAAGCTAGCAATTCCATTGCTAGGTATATACCCAAGAGAATGGAAAGCATACAACCACACAAAAACTTGTACACAGATGTTCATAGTAGCCTTATTTGTAATAGCCAAAAGGTGGAAACAACCTAAATGTCTATCACTTGATGAATGAATAAGTAGAAGTGGTACATCCATACAATGGAATATTATTTAGCCATAATAAAAGGAATGAAGTACAGACTCATACAACATTGAACCTTGAAAACTTTATGCTAAGTGAAGGAAGTCAACACAGAAGACCACGTATTGTATGATTCTCTTTACAGTCAGTTCTTGTTTGTGGTAGTTAGGTTCTGTAAAGCCATGAATACTGGATCATTGCTTCTAGAGGAAGTATAGGGTTAGATTCCTGCAAGCCTGTGATCACAGCATTTTTGTCAACTGATCAGTACATAACCTTGCTTTATGTGTGTTTCTGTCTAAAGACACTTTATTTAATATATATTGTGAATTCAGTAATATTGAACTCACAGCCAGCAGCACTATAACTCATGCCTGGATGGAACTTATCAAACACATGTATTTTCTCCATATGGCACATCACTGCCTTCCTGTGCTTAGGAACACCAGACAGCACTTTAGCACTGTGCTTTTCTCTTCTCGGTACATATCCACGAATGACCTCAAAAGCACTGAGTACTGATTTGGGGGTTACATATTTTAGTGATTAGGTAAATTTGCGTATATGGAATCTGCAAATAACGAGGATCGACTGCATATGAAATCTCTAGAACAGGCAAATCTATAGAGACAGGAGATTAAGGGTTTCCCGGGACTAAGCAGAGGAGGGAATGGGGAGTAACTAATAATGTACATGGGTGTTCTTTTGGAGGGATAAAAGTGCTCTGGAATTTGTGGTGATAGTTGTACAACCTTGTGAATGTACTAAAAACATTGAATTGTACACTAAAAGGGTGATTTTTAAAGTATTAAGGATTATATCTCAATAAAGCAGTTATTTAAAAGAAAGTTTTTAAATTCCCATATATGACTACAGACTTATTGCTAGAAATTTCTTTACATTTTTTTTTTCAAAATAACTTGGACATGCTATAAAATGGGCTGCAGAGGCCAAGGTAATGGGTGTGTGCAGGAGATGCTCTGTCTGGATGGCATTGGGTTTTCCTGATGCTCTTCATCCCCTTGCAAAGATTCAAGTTCAAGTGAGCAATTAAAGTACTTATATAGAGGTGATTAATTTTAGAACACTTTTCAGAACAGTTTTTAAAACCTCTAGTTTTCATTCATTTGTTCAGCAAATATTGATTTGAGTGCCTCCTCTTTGTGAGGCACTGTCAAGGTGCTATCTAAAACAACCAACCAAAGTCCTGCCCTTGTAGAAGGAAGAGAGAGACAGTAAACAAAATAAATAAGAATAATATGTAATGCATTAAATGATGGACTCCAAGTGCTGATACTGGTAGGGAGGGAGTCAAGATTGTTCGATTTCAAAAGAGTGCTTGGGGGAGGCTTAACTGAGGCGACATTTGAACACAGGAGGTAAGAGAGTGATACTAGGTTACCTAAGGCAAGAACATTCCAGTCACAAAGAACAGCAGATGCAAAGACCCTAAAGCAGGAGCATTTCTCATGTATTCAAAGATCATTAAGGATTCCAGCCTAGCTAGTGTGCAGTGAGCACACAGCAGGAGAAAACAGGTAGATCAGTGAAGAAATGAGGCCCAACCATATAGTGCCTTATTAGGCCTTTGTCAGGATTCTGGCTTCTACACAGTAAGATGGGGAAACCATTGGAGAGTTTGGAGTAGAGAAATGAAATGGTCTCACTTAACATTCTAACAGGGTCACTCTCGCTGCTTTGTTGAGAAGAGATTCTTAAGGGAGGCAAAGGCAGAAGCAGGAAGACCAGTTAGGAGGCAGTTAACAATAATTCAGGCAAAAAATGATGGTAGTTTAGACTGGGATAGCATCAGTGGAGGTGGGAAAAAGTAGTTGGATACTGGATGTATTTTGAAAGGAAAGCCTATGTAAGAGAGAGGGAGAGATGACCCTAAGAGTTTGGCCTAAGTAACTAGAATGATGAAATTGGAGTTTACCTTAACTGAAATGGGGAATACTGCAGGTAGAGTAGGGTGGCAGGTGGGAGACCAGGAGATAACATTTTAATGTGTTTTAGACACGTTAAGTTTGCGGGGCGTTTTAAGACATCAAAGTGGATATGTTGAATAGGCTGTTGAGTATGCACGTCTGGGATCCAGACTAGAGATATAAAATTGAGACTTGGAAGCTATAGACATTATTTAAAGCTATGAGACTAGATAAATTCACCAGGTTGCGTGGGCATGGACAGACAATAGAGGAGATGACAGCTTGCTCCCTGAGGCATTCCATAGCTAAGAGTTGGTGTGGCAGACCAGCAAAATAGACTGAGAAGGAATGGACTGAGGTAGATAAAACCAAATAAACACATGCCCTGAAATCTACATGCAAAAAGTGAGGGAGAGATCAGCTTGTCAGAAACTACAGTTATGTCAAGTAAGATGAGGACTGAGACTTGATCGTTGGAATTGGCAGCATGGATGCAATTGGTGAAAACTTGACAAGCGGGAACTTCTGCTTCCTGTCAAGATGGGATAACAGGGACCAGATGAACCCTCGTTGCCTGAAATAACAAAAAAACCACACTAGAGTATATGAAACAATGGTTTATGGTTTTGAAGACACTGGTCATCAGACAATGAAGAATCATGATCTCAAAGGCAGAAAGGCATGAGGTGAGCCCTATGATTGCCCCAGGTTAATGTCTTGAGAGAGTTTCCGGGCCACATACAGGGAGGGAGAACCCAGATGGGGCACAGTGGACTCCCTGAGTTGTGGAGATGGAGTTGAGAGTTGGGGGAGACCAAGGCAGGTGGAGTTCACAAGACAGAGTACAGGAGATGAGAAAGCTTCTCAGAGAGAAGACTCTGGAGATCTGCGGAGAGTCCCCTCTCTCTGAGAAGACTCTGGAGATCTGCGGAGAGTCCCCTTTGAGCATTCGACAGAGGTTGGCGCACCTATGTGAAGAATCTACCCAAGGCGGAGGATATAACCATCTGATAAGGTTAGAGAGGACAGTGCCTGGTGCTCACATGGGCTGGGAACAGTGCCTGCTTCTGTCAGCCACAGTGGGAAGCCTTGTAATTCACAGGGTATTGAGGAGAAGACTGAAGAGAGTCTTGCCTCAGTGATGGGAAATAATTACCCCTAAACTGCATGCTGCTGTGCTCCCACCTAACAGATTTTAAAAACAAGACCCAGAGGGATCTATTCCTAAATAACTGTGGCCCAGAACAAAGCTCAAGAATATTTATAGGAATACAGATATTTCCAGCACCCAACAAGCGCCCAAATTTCCACTCAAAGTTACCAGGCAGGCTAAAGAGCAGGAAAATACAACCCATAGCGAGGAGAAAAATCAGTCGATTGAAACTGACCCAGAACTGACACAGATAAAAGAATTAGCACACAGGGTCATTAAAACAATTTTTGTAACTGCATTCCAGATGTTAAAAAGAGTTAGGTAGAGACATTTGGAAGGTATATATTTTTTAAAAAACAAATTAAATTTATAGATAGAAGCTGTAGTGTTTGAGATTAGATTGGGGCAGATTATACAGTGCTGAAAAAGTGATTAATGATTTAATAATCATAGACACAGTAATAGAAACTATCCAAAATGAAACATAGGGACTGAAATGAGTTTTTTGAAAAATGAAATAGCATCAGTGAACTGTGAGACAACTTCAAGTGTTCCTATATATGTGTAACCAAGTTTTGAAAGAAAAAGTCTGTCAACCGAGAATTCTACAGCCAACAAATTTCTTTAAAAAACTAAGGTGAAATAAAGATTTCTCAAACATACAAAAGTGGGAAGAGTTTATCACCAGTGGATCTACACTATAAGAAATACTAAAGGAAGTCTTTCAAGCAGAAAGAAAATGGTAATATGGTTCCACACAAAGAAATGAAGAGCACTAGAAATAGTAACTGTATGGGTAATTATATAAGATTTTTAAAAATATAAATATCTTTAGAAGATAAAACTGTTTAAATAAAAATAATAGCAGTGGAAGGAGGAAAAGAACATATGTATAAGTAAAATGACAAGAAAAGCATAAGGCTGAGGCAGAGAACTGTAAGATTGTACTCTGTGTGAAGTGCTATAATATTGTGATGATTGTGAACATTGAAAGATGTATGTTATAAACCCTTAAGCAAACACTAAAATCATGAAAGAGAGTTTACCTAATAAAACTCAACTAAGGAGATAAAATGGAATCATAAATAATGCTGAGTTAAAAAGCCCACACCAATGGGGGGTATGTCAGAGGGGCACAGGGGCCAACTGAAGGAGCACCAGTGGCTAAAGATGCAACCATTTGAACAAAATAAAGTAGTATGGGATTATATCCTGAAGTATAGAATAATATTTATGAGTCTATAATTATATAAATAAGTGATTGAATAAATAAATGGGGCAGAAGAGACAAAGCTCCCATGCAGAAGAATTCCAAATAATTTATGTACTTGTTCCACTCTAAAGGAGATGGAGCATAAGTTCCCACTCCTTAAGTGTAGGCTGCATGTAGTGACTTCCTTCCCAAGAGCACAGTGTGAAAAGGGCGGGGTTGGGGGGAGAGTAACTTTCCAGTGGAGTAACCTGACAGACACTACTTCAGCCAACTGATAAGGTCAACATCAGTAGTGATAAATCATGTACCCTTGATATGATGTGATAAATGGCACTCTGACTCTGTGGTCTTCCTCCCCAAAACCCATAATCTCAGTCTAATCATGAGAAAAACATCAGAAAATTCCAATACAGGGACATCCTACAATATAATACCTGACTAGTACTCCTCTAAACTGTTAAGGTCATCAAAAGGAAAGGAAATCCAAGAAATTGTCACAGACGAGAGGAACCTAAGGGGACATGACAACCAAATGTAATGTATAGTATCCTGGAACAGAAACAGGAGAGTGGGATGAGTGAAATAGGAAAATCCAGTATGAATGCTGAAGCACTAAGGGCCCATAGGAGGTTAGTGATGCCTGTCACCAGGGACATAGCTTTCTCTTCCACTGTACTTAGCTGCATAGGTACAGGCAAAGAGTAGGCAGAGTTTTAACCCTGTTTAGCCAAGTGAATGCTGTGAAGTGCAAGAGGGTCAAAGAAGTGATTATGTGAAAGGAATGATGGACATTGGCAGATCAGTGGGATTTCTTTAGGTCCAGTAGAGTCAAAGGATTGCTGGCATTGGAGTGCTGGGAGTGAAAAACATAGGAGATGGAGTGCAGCTGAGATTTAGGAGTTGCAGTTGTTGGTACTGATAAGGTGTAGGACATTACCGTGGTGTGTGGCTGAGGTAGGCTGAAGGACAAGGACGTCAGAGGAGAGGAGATTGGGGAACTGTGAATTATGAGTAATGTTAGAGATGATAACAGTGTGTGGTAGATGTTTGAAACAAGGAAAGGTCAGTATGAGTTTGAAAGCCCAGGAGTTAACAGAGAAGGAGAGAGAGAGAGATCTCAAAAAGGCAATGAGGAGCCAAAAGGGCACTCCATCTCCAGGCCCAGTGGTACAAAGATGTGGGAGAGAAAAAGCTACCACTCGAGAGCACTGCAGGTGAGGCAGAATCCTCACGGGAGAGCCAGGCCTCAGTAGATAAGGAGAATGTTTGAGAAGGGGAGGGGAAGCCGTGTATGAAAAAATTAGTCCAGAGAGAGGAATGTGCAGAGCCGTGTGGGCATTAGAATGGAGAAGCTGAGGGAGTGGCTGGGAGTCCTGGGCTGCTTATAATCACTAACATAATGAGGATAAAGAGTATAGTAAGATTTATCCCAAAGTAGGGAAAAAGACTGTTAAGTGTTTGGAGAGGAGGAGTACTTGACAAGAGTGATTGTTTCTGTGGGCTCCCCTCTAATCCTTTCTGATGGAATTGTAGAGGCTCAGAACAATCTTATGATCTTAACTTGAAATTAATTGCTATCTCAGAGATAATTTTTTAGGATGGAATTTTTAAATGAAAATTTTGGGAGAAATGTCATGTAAAGAGAAGTGAACTTGGGGGCCAGCCCGGTGGTGTAGCTGTTAAGTTCACGTGCTCCGCTTCGGCGGCCCAGGGTTCAGGGGTTTGGCTCCCAGGAGCGGACGATGCACAGCTTGTCAAGCCATGCTGTGGCGGCGTCCCATATAAAGTAGAGGAAGGTAGGCACGGATGTTAGCCCAGGGCTAGTCTTCCTCGGTAAAAATGAGGAGGATTGGCATCAGATGTTAGCTCAGAGCTGATCTTCCTCACAAAAAGAAAAAAAAAGAGAGAGAAGTGAACTTAAGTGACAAGGAAATGGGCACACTGATATCCTGATGGTTTGAGTACCAGTTGGTATCCTTTTTTTGATGGCATTTTGGCAATACAGCAGGAACTTTTAATAATTCCGTAGAAAATCTGGGTGACCTTGGGTTTGGCGATGTTTTTAGAAACATCAAAAGCATTAAAATTGGAATCATGTTCTCTGAGAAAAATATGATTAAGAGAATGAAAAGTCAAGTCATAGACAGAGAAAATATTTGCAAAACACCTATTTGATAAAGGAATGTTATCCAAATACAAAGAATCAGCAGTAGGAAAACAAACAACCTAATTTAAAAATGGGCAAAAGATCTGAACAAACAACTCACCAAAGAAGATACACAGATGGCAAATAAGCATATAAAAAGATGTTCAACATCATGTCATTAGGGAATTCCTAAATTAAAACAACAGTGCGATATCACTACATGCCTGTTAGAATGGCGTAAAATCCGAAAAACTGACAACACCAAATGCCTGTGAGGATGTGGAGCAACAGGAACTCTCATTCATTGCTGGTGGGAATGCAAAATGGTAGAGCCATTTTGGAAGACAGTTTGGCGGTTTCCTACCCAACTAAACATACTCTTAACATTACAGTCCAGAATTGTGCTCCTTATTATTTACCCAAATGAGTTGAAAACTTATATTCACATAAAAACCTGTACACAAACGTTTATAGCATTTTTATTCATAATTTCCCCAAATTGGAAGCAGCTAAGATGTACTTTTTATACAGAAATATACTGTTTATATATACAGTATGTAAATATACTGTATTAAAGTCAGTGTATAAATTGACTGTGGTACATCCATACAATGGAATGTTATTCCATAACATTAAAAAGACAAAAAGATAAAAAGAAATGAGCTATCAAACCACAAAAAGACATGGAAGAACCTTAAATGCATATTGTTTAGTGAAAGAATCCAGTCTAAAAGGCTACATACTATATGATTCCAACTAAAGTGTGAAAAAGATCAGTGGTTGCCAGGGGTTTAGGGAGGTGGGGAAGATGAATAGGTGGAGCACAGGGGATTTTTAGGGCACTGAAATTTTTCATTTGATACTAGAATGGTGGATACATGACTATGCATTTGTTTAAACCCATAGAACTATACAGTACAAAGAGTGAACCCTAATGTAAATTATAGACTTGTGTTTAATGACAGTGTATTAATATTGGTTTATCACTTGTAACAAGTGTACCATACTAATGTAAGTTGTTAGTAATAGGGGAAACTGTGTGTGTGTTGGGGGGGTATATGGGAACTCTCTGTACTATCTGCTCAATTTTCTTTAAATCTAAAACTTGTAAGAAATAAAGTCTCTTAATTTTTATTTAAAATTCCATTTCTAGGAATTTAAAGAAAATAATCAGAGAAGTACATAAAGAATGCAAGGATTTTCCAAAGGGGATTGACTAAATTATGAAACATCCATATAATAGGGCACGATTCAACTCAGCCATTAAAATAATTTTGCAGATCTAATCTTTTATTACGCCAGGATATAGCTGGTTTTTTTTTTTCCTAAGACTTTAGTTTTTAGAGCAGTTTTAGGTTCACAGGAAAATTGAGAGAAAGGTACGGAGATTTCCCATGTACCCTCTTCCCCCCTACATGCATAGCCTCCCGCATTATCAACATCCCTCACCAGAAGGTACATTTCTGACAATCATTGAACCTACACTGACATATCATTGTCACCCAGAGTCCATAGTTTTGTGTTACATTAGGGTTTACTCTCGGTGCTGTACATTCTGTAGGTTTGAACAAATGTATAATGAATAACATATGTCCATCATTATAGTATCATGCAAGTATTTTCACTGTCCTAAGGAAAGGGAATACTATATGTTGATGGTATAATTGTGGTCATTTTTCTTTACACCTTTATGTATTACAGTTTTTTTATCAATATGTATTGCATTGATAATCCAAAAAAAAAGATGAGGCTAATTTTTGAAAACAATTAGGGAAATGTAACATCTAAAAATAAAGGAGAGGGCCGGCCCCGTGGCTTAGCGGTTAAGTGCGTGCTCTCTGCTGCCGGCGGCCCGGGTTCGGATCCTGGGTGCGCACCGAGGCACCACTCCTCCAGCCATGCTGAGGCCGCATCCCACATACAGCAACTAGAAGGATGTGCAGCTATGACAGACAACTATGTACTGGGGCTTTGGGGGAAAAATAAATAAATAAAATCTTTAAAAAAAATAAAAAAATAAAAAAAAATAAAAATAAAGGAGAAATATCTAATCCAAAGGGGTAGAAATGCTAATAAGCTCAGTTTAGTATTTATGGTGATTGTCTTTAAAGAAGTTAAAGATCCAACACAGAAATCAAAATATGATGTACACTTGAAATTTATATAATGTTATAAACCAGCGTTACTTCAATAAAATAAATAAATAAATAAAAAAGGAGTTAAAGATCCGTACGCTTTGTAAAGTGCTCTCCCACTTTGTTGAGCTGCCTTAAGTGTGTCACAGATGTTCTTCTACTTTTAGGCCTTGTACCTGATAGCAACTAATGGAACCCCAGAACTTCAGAACCCAGAGAAACTTTCCCCAATATTTCGGGATTTCTTAAATCGGTGTTTGGAGATGGATGTGGAGAAGAGAGGTTCAGCCAAAGAATTGTTACAGGTGAATTTGGAAATGATACTATTTTTGGAAAAAGTTGACTTTTTTGAATAAGCAACAGAAAGTTGGTGACGTCGGGTTAATAAATGCATTTCACTGTTCATTCATTACTAGCAGCATGGCAGCTCCTGCAGTGTAAGATTTCATCTGCTGGAAATAAAATACCCAGAATATTATGAGAAGTATATGAGTTTTTTCACGTTATCACTTCTCAGACCAGTTCGTTGCTGGCATGGGTATCTGGGTCATTTAACTGAGATTTTATAATACTTGAAAAACTAAAAAGACTATGCTTTCAACTATAAAAGTGATGTATTGATTCTGTTGATTTTATATAGATATTGAAATATGTGTTTATTAAATAAATTTTGATCCATAAAGTAGTCTTTGGGGCCTAATTAAAAGGAAATGTTTAGCTTCTACTCTGCTGACATTGATACATTTATTTTTTTCCCCCTCTTTCTGGCAGCATCCCTTCCTGAAACTGGCCAAACCGTTATCTAGCTTGACACCACTGATCATGGCAGCTAAAGAAGCAATGAAGAGTAACCGTTAACGTCATTGCCGTGGCCTCATATTTTTTCCATTTTCTAAAAGAAGTCTTTTAATATATGAAAATTATTACTCTTTTGGGGTTTAAAGAAATGGTCTGCATAACATTGAGGAAAAAAGCAAGCTATTACTTCCTGAAGACAACCAAGAGAAAATTATAAAATGGAATGACAACTTTCTATTGAATCCCTTGTATAGGGTCCAAAAGGAATTGTGGACTGAATCACTAGCCTGCCTTCTTGCAGCAGACAGCCCATCAGGGCCACTTATCCTGCCTGAGATTTGCATTTTATTTTGCTGACTTCATTGTAGTAGATCCCCTTCATTGTCCCTTTTGGAGTATTTTCGATACTTGAATGGCAGATTTGAGTTTTTCAGAGTATTTGTTTCATCTGCTAGTCTTCTTTTCTCTCTCCTTCATAGCGTTCTTTTTCCTTGACTTGCTCTTTTTGAGTTGCTTTCAGAAATTTTTCTTATGCCTAAATTCGAGGCAAATGTGATAGAAATTATGTAGATCCTTATATTGGCAAAGGAGCTCAATATGGTTTAACTTTGTATAGAAGTTAGGACCAGCTGTTGTTGTACATGTAATAGTTCAGAATTTGAACTCGAAGAAAAGGAAGAAAAGTATGTGATTTTTACCTTTTTTAACAAATGTGAGAGAGTCAATTTTAGAAATTTCATGGTAGTGAGATGTTTGGCATTTGTTAATGTATGAAGACAAGACTGATGATCTATATTTATAACTAAATCATTGAGACAGAAAAAGAATCCCATTGACTCTGCATCCTTACAATTTCATTTTCCTTTCTGACTTTTTCCTCTTCAGATTTGGCTTCAGGAACCGAAGTGAGTTGTCCTTGTTCCAACTTGGGCTGGTGTCGCTACTTTCCGCTTCCCCATTTTTTTCCCTTCATTTTGGAAATAAGTTTCTGTATATGTTGTAATTTTAGTTAGTTTGTTTTTTAATTAACCCTCTTTCACCCTACTCCTCCCCCTCCGTGGTAAATAATATAATAACCATTGAATTATCAGAATTTAAAAGTTAACTTTTTTTTCCCATTTAAAGGAGAGAAATATTTGGAGCTAGCAGAGACAGAGTGACAGACTTGAACCTTGGTGAGCTCTAAAATAATTAGATGAGATTGTATTCATGAAAGAGAAATACCAATTACATAGAGATGCAGCTTCTGACCAGTAGGCTGTAGAGATTTGTTGTAAACATTGTTCCCAACCCATTACTAATGTTTTACTGTCTGTGAGAACTTAAATGACAAAGTACTTCTTGATAAATTCATGGATTGATTATTTGAGATGTTGAGTTACTTTAGATTTTTTTCAAATAAGTGAATAATATGTAAAAAAAAAAACTGGAGAAAGGAAGAAAAGTGAAATGTGCTTATTGATAGCAATACTTTTTTTATTTTAAAGATTTAAAACAGGTCTGTGACCTGTAGCATTAATTATTAGAGTCTCTCCCATCCCCTTCTCTTCTTTCTCTCTTCTTCTCTCCTTATTTTTTTATTGTTTTGCCTTTGGAGGTGGTATCGTCCTTTCTGACATGCCAAGAGCCACATAAAAGAGAAAAATCTGTGGTTTGGTTCTGGCATTTTCTTCCCACCGTTCGCTCCTAATTAACTTCACATCTACTCGCCATCCTGCAATAGTACAAATCATGAATAAAAATAATTTTGATGTTTTGGAGTACATTAGGGGAACTAATAGAGTTTTATTTCCTATCATTCCCATCATATCTGTGTTAAGATATAGGTATAAGGATAGAAATGGCTGTTTATTGATAATGCAGGAAAGTTTTCACAAAAATGAGTAAAATAATTAATGAAACTTATGTCTAGAGCACTTAATGATCTCTGTTTTCAATTTGATTCTTGATTTCGTTTTTCTCTGGATTATATTGGCCTTCTACAGCTATTACTAAATTACAGAAACAAGCTTGTTTATTTCTGGTGGAAAGCTACAGTGTCTCTTGAGTTCCAGATTTGAATGTTCTTTGTAAATAGTTGTCTGGATGGATTATGATAAAGAAGATGCTATCAATGAAATAGAAAGCCAACTAGATGATAAGACTGTGATCATCATAACCACTCTAGAAGGCACTTCCATACATAAGTCATAAAGACCATATTCGCTGAATACAGTGCCAATGCCCCATTTTTATGTCTGTGACTCAACAAAGATCTTTTCAGTTTATAGAAGCAGTTTGGGATTTGTATTTACCACTTCTTTGATGGTTACCTGCACGTCCATTGCTGGCAACGGACTTTGTCATTAAAACCTGACTCCTAGGTTAAGGGAGCTACACTGTGGTTTATTCTTTACTTACTTGGATAAACTAACTTGTAATAGAAATATACTTTGGTTAATTCTGCAATGTGTCATTTTTAAATAATCTTAAAAGCAATATGGACTTGTGATTTATTAGTTAATTTTAAATTAAAATGTTCAGATCTTGTTGAAAGAAAAATTATATCTGAATCAAGATTCATGTTTTTTTAATAACTGCCTTTTGTATTCACCCTCTTTGTTTCATTCACTTTAGAATGAAAATTCCCATTTAAATCTAAAAGTTACCTTAGTAGTCCTCTTGTGTTATTAGGACAATATTACTATAGTACTTATTTATTATATTTCAGACTCTCTGACAGTCTTAAAGTTTTCTTCTCCTCTTGTTCCTTTTGCTGCTTTTAGGGACAGGTAAAACTGGGAAACTGAAAATATTGAATATTTTATCCTACCTAGAATAGGAAACAAGTGGAGTGAGTGTGATAGCTTAAGAAACCAAGGCTAACACAACTCTGTCTTCATGTGTTGAGTGCCTGGCACATAGTATAAATTCTCTTCCCTTCAACATATAAGTATTAAGCTGCTTAAAATGTATCTAGTTACCACCAGTCCTAAATGAACCTGTGCCTTTAATAAGCAATTTAAAACTACCTATGAGTATTCCTTTGTAGGGCTCACATAAATACATGTTTGTTTATATATACTGTATTCTAGCCAGAATAATTTTAGCTCTGATCAGGCAGTAGCTATAGTTAGAAAAAGTGGATGCTTAAAGAATTTGCATCAGTTTTTTAATCTGCAAGTCTTAAAATATACTGAGGTCCATATCCAGTGAAATGTCAAAAAATCATTATAGATTATAGCTAAAATCTAGATTAATACTCATTTTGGGTTTCTTATAGTGGAATTTCATAGTAATATAAAAAAAAGCAGATTGTCTTCCTTGTCTCCACTGCTCCTACAATAGATATTTAAACAAAATCAGTTTCCCACAGTGCATGTATATGTGTGTGTATAAGAAAGGAAGAAATACACACATACAAACACACACACATAAACACATACATATTTTCTCACTTAACAACACATTTATTGACCACTTTGGCAAAGACACTGTGGTAGATCTTGTGGGAATTACAAAGGAGATATCAAGCACTGGCCTGGCCTTGAGAGAACTGAAGTTTCTCATTAACCATTCTAGAATGTTGCCAAATGAGAGGGAGAAAGAGGTGTATGATAATTCTGTCAAATTTTCATTGTGTATTAAGAAAAGCAGAGGATTGTATTTGGAATTGAACATCTTTGGTAGGAATGTGTTGCCTTTTTTTTTTTTTTCCTGGTAGATAGAAATGGAGTTAAGTGAAAGTAACTTGTCTTTACTGTTTTGTCTTCAAATTTTATATTGACTTATTTTTAATTTAATCTCATTCAATTATTTAATTGTTACTTTGACATTAACTGCTGTATTTGATGACCTTGTTCAATAATTTTGTTCTTTCAGGGCTAGAAATAAACTTTTTTTTTATGTTCATTTCTTCCTTTCCTAAACTTTAATTCTTTCTTTAGGTCAGAATAGCTTAAAAGAATAAGTATAATAGGTTTTCAAAGAACATTCTAGTATTTTTAAGAGTAAATGTTTCTTAAACATGTCATGGCACTATTTTGAATGTATTTACAAAGCTACAAGTTAGAAAGGTTTCCAGAAATTTATGGCTACTAGGCATGAGCCTTTCTTCTTCTAAACCACGTTCAGAATAAATTTCTTAGCGATGATCCAGCCTTAATCATACCCAGGGAAACACTTTGATCTGTTTGAATACTTCCAGTAACTTGGCCTGAAATTCTAATGCTTTCCTGGCTGACGTAATAAGAATCTTACCAGAATTTGTGTTAGATGCACCAAGAGATCTTTAAAAGTGCAGTACTTAAAGGCATTACTTCATTATACACATTTCATTTGGGATGTTGGATACCCTGACATGGAGAACAGCTGTAATATAGAGAGTTCACTGTCAAAAAACAAAATTAGACGTTTTTTAGCGGGAGCGGGGGGTGTCGGCAATGACCACTTAAAATATATTTGTTACACTATAAGCCTGTTCAGTGCTATTCTAACGTTTGTATTTCTATAAACTAATTCTAGCAAATGCTCAAAATATTTGCCTGAGAAAAGTTCAAAAATGACCGAATGATTGATTTGAAAAGCACTTTTGGTAGGAGCTGCATGCGTACTTTACTACTATGATATTTGTGGCTTTTCTTAAATTAGGGAATTATTTTTTATGCTAAATGATTTAACAAGTTTTATCTTTTGAAGAGGAGGAGAACAATGAAGGGAAAGGTCTTTTGAGGCCTGGTTATTTTAGATTTTTAACGAAGTAATGTACATAGATTAAAAATTCAAATAATCTTGAAGAAGTTGTAATAAACAGTGCCAGTCCTCAGCTTTAAACTTCCCTGCTGCTGAGTCCTGCTCCACAGAGGCATCTGCTCAGCTCTGAGCTGTTTTTAGCGTGCGTTAATCTTCACATGTCTAAATTATATACTTATACAGGTATTTCTTGACAGTTCTATATTTTACTTTATCTTAATAACTTCCTAATCTGACAGTTGAGATTTGAGTACTGTCATACCATCCCGTTCTCCCGTTTTGACTCCCTCTAGTCTCTCAATTAAGAGAGGTGGCAGTTTTTTATTCGATTAGTAGTCAGTTTTTACCTTATGACTAGGTGGGAGTGTTGTTCACTTGAGTCAAGTAATTGATTATTGTTACATGTCATTTCTTGTACAAATCTGCTTTTCCTGTTGTTAATTTTGGTGTCGTTTTGTTTCCTTTGAAAGTTTTTATGTTCCCGAGTTTTCTCAAACTTGCCACAAAATTGCAAAAGCCTTCTGAAGACTATTTTCTATACAATTAAATGTCTCAGATAATGACATTTCCTTTTTCCTTCCTGGAACTTGACTGGGGCTGCAGTTTGGACTGTTGCTCTTCAGGTCTCCTGCCCTTCTAGCATCTGAACTCAACCTCACTTTTCTCCTGAGTGAGATCCTTTGCTTCCTGAACACCATATCATCTTCTTGCTTGGTTTGTCCCCTCATTTTGGAGAAGTA